TACATAACACACCAGTGCCACCATCACTCTCAGGGCTAGCATTAATACTATTTTAAATTTCATTCAGTCCATTTTCTCTCCAAAACTTCATTGTTTCCTCCCTTGGTGTATACCGCTTCCCTCTCCAAAATACATATTCCAAGAATACACTCTATATTTTCTTAAAAATCATTATTTTTTGATCGGCCTCTTCTTAATTTCATATCACACGTCAGTTTATCATTAATTGCCATATCCCATAGTTCTCTATAGTACAATTCCTTTAAATTGAATTGGTTATCATTTTTTCAGTTTCTTGCAAAAATTAACCTTGCTGCTGTAATCATTATTACTATTAAGTCCTTGTTTTCTTTTAACAATTGATCCTTCTTAACCAAATTCAATAAAGCCATTGATGGGGGCATTTGAATATTTAATCCAGTTATTTCCGAGGGGCCCGTTTCTGGTTTCCTATGGTTGCGAACCCCTCCAAAGGCTGCTTCCTCCGCGTATAAACATTTCAAAAAAAAAAAAAATTAAGTGCCTGCCCTCCCTCTTTCTCTAGTGACTCACGGATGGTGAGGGAATCTGTGGTTTTATGCTCTCTTCTCAGCCCTTAAACCCAGATGGCACTGACTCACCTGGGCACAGACGCAAGGGCGTGCCGGCTTTGAGGCAGGCAGTGACTCAGAGTGGTTAGGGGCACCACGCGATGGAGGGGGGGCAGCAGAAACACATTTTAGGATTCATAAACACCCATCACAGGGGCCCTGGATTTCCTGCCAGAACTCAGCAGGAGAAGAAGAAAAGGGTCCTTAAGGTTGTGTTTTGGGAGGCTGGAGGCGGTTCCACAGAAGCAAGCTTTCAGACATCACAGGATTCTTAGTGAGAAAAACAAAACACCAGTGGCAGCCTTAAGACTTGCCCAATTATTCCAACATGCTTTATCCCACTGGCTTGGTTTTCGGTTGATATTCTCAGTGACATAGCCCTGAAAATTTTTATGCTCTTTCTGCCGGCATCTGCTTGTTCTATTGTGAACTGTAATGAGATTCCACAAATCTAATTAGGTTTAATCACAGCCAGCGTGATGTAGTGGACAGAGCGTTGGGCTCAGTTCAAGAGGCCCGGGTTCAAATCCCATCCATTTATTTATTTCTTTTATTTATAGGCCACCTTTCTCCCGATACAGGGGACCCCCTCCTTGAACATCTTTCTCACCTACTTCAAAAACCCCATTACGGTTGCCACAAATCAGAAGCAATTGGACATAATAACAACACAGTCCTAGTAGAAACAAAGATTTGTAAAAAACAATGTATCCGGACCCATTCGTTTATAGAGACTTTGAAACAAACCAATGAATGAATAAACAAGAGTCCAGTGTCCCATTTCCAATGGTGATTAGCTGAATCTTACATTTCCTGGCGGGAAATGAGGTTCACAAAACCCTTTGTTGCACATTTTTAAACAGCCACAGGTAGACTGCAATGTTCTGTGGAGGCTCTACGGAAATAGGGGGGGTTCCTAAATTTCTCTCTCTCTTTTTCTCCTGCCAGGTGAACGGCCATTTGGCTGCAGCTGGCCAGGCTGCCAGAAACGCTTTGCCCGCTCGGACGAGCTGGCACGCCACCTGCGCACTCACACCGGTGAGAAACGCTTCGCCTGCCCGCTCTGCGAGAAACGCTTTATGCGCAGTGACCACCTGAGCAAGCATGCCCGGCGCCACCCGGCCTTCCGGCCCGGCATGGTCCGGCGGACGGACTGCCACAGCGCTTCACCCAGTGACTCGGCCGCTAGCAGCCTGACCGGTAGCCCCAGTCCAGACAGTCCCGCCTCCGATACCCTTGGCCCTTAAAAAAACAAAACCAAACAGCGCTTCGCCGGCTTTCTGTACAATAGACACTGCAGAAGGATTATCTGCCCACTTCAAAGTCCTGGATGCCTCTCTGTTTCCTCTTTTTAAAATCTTTAAATCAGGATTTTTGCGGATCCCAGGGGTCTTTCCCCAGGGCTCGGATCGACGGATTTCCACACCAGAGTGCACCCATCACGAAAGACAGGCGACGGCACCCATACGAAATGATACCCTCTTTCCTCTCACATCCAATGTGTTATTATTATTTTTCTTTTTCTTTGCAAAAGTGAGGGAAGGCTGTACGGGTTTTGCTATATAACCCCCCCCCCAAAAAAAATTGTATTTATTTTTTAATGTTAAGGTAGAATCAGAGTAGCAGAGGGCCAAGGATGTGACAGGGAAGGGATTTGAGATAGCTGAATGGCCTTCTCCTATCCAGGCTGGGGTGGGAGAGATTTGGCTGGGATCCAGCCCATCCACGCAGGGTGTGCTCACTGGTCCAATTTTTGCACGAGAGGAAGCACTTTTCCCTCTCCACCGTTGTGGCAACCTGTGATGCCCCGCAACCAATCAGGGTGTGTGTGTATGTGTTTGTGTGTGTGTGTATTTAGATGTGCTACGTTTTCAGTTTTCCTTGCAATTGATTTCTTTATCTTGGTAGTTTTTGAGGGACAGGGTCCCTACCAAAGCCACCCTCCCATCTCCTCCTTGTGCTTCTGGTTTGGATCAACTTATTTAGAGCTTGGAAAGTGATCATCGGGATGTGGGGGAGGAAAACGGAAAAAACATCCGCTTTTGGGTGGCGAGACCGGCTCCTGCCCAGGTTTGGAAAGGCTCACTTTACCCATCAGCACACCGGGAGGGTTTGAATTAAAAAAGGGGAGAGAAAGGTTATATGTGTAGGGGTGTGTGTTTTATATTATTTGAAGCTGGTCTCTATGCAAGTGTGGAAGAAGGCTCAACAGGTGGGTCTGTGGGAACCAGTTCAAATCTAGCTGCTCCAGTGGCTAGAACGGAACTCAGTGGATCCACTAATTCTGGATGAAGCTCATTCGAACTCAGGACCTATCGATATCGGGGAAACGGGTCAGGGGCACAAGAACCTAAGAAGCCTACTGAATGATTTGTAGAGTGAGATAAACAAATGGGAGCTAGGGTGCATCTCTCATGGAGAAGCTGTTAGGATTTTCGTTTTGCACCATGTTGGAATGTCTTATATTTTCAGGGATAGATGGAGGACCAAATATTTGTTTCCTCACTCATATAATTGTCTGGGGAAAACTTTTGAATGTATGACTCCCATTGTTTCTGTTCTAGAAGATATAATCATGCAGGCTTATTTAATAATGACAGTGATCTTAGAATTGCAGAGCTTGAACAACCTATGAAAATATTTATGGAAAAAGCAGCACTTGTTGGGAATTGACGGGTATTCTTGGAACACAAATTTGAATCAGGTAGCAAGCTTTAGAGAAGGATTTTGATTTTTCAGGTCTACAACTAGAAATACTATATTTTTTTGTGAAGAGAGCGATATGTTCCCAGGTTTTCCTTCCCTAAAGGCACGGCACAGACTTGGAACTGAGGGAAGTTACTTTGAGGGGGGGGGCGACAACATCCAGAGTTTTGTCAGCCAGTTAGGATGATGATGAGGGAAGTGCAAAATGGAGAGCTTTTTTGTAAAAAGGGACATTCCTAAGCTGCCAGTTCAGTGGAGGCAAAATCCGTTTCAGAGCGCTTCATTTTGTCTTATAAACTAGGGTAAATTTGGAGTTTCCTCAGAGGGGAGGAGATAGGAAAAGTAACTTTTTTCTCCCACAAATGTGGCTGTTTTCTGTTGTGAGTGGAGTTGAACTGTGGGCAGAAAGGGGTTGTATTTCTCTCTCTTTCTCCATGTCTGTATTTTTGATAAGCCTTGAACCCAGCTTTGTATATGTGTGCACCTCATTTCCCCTTCCCATTTTGCTGTTAATTAAATAAAACAAACAAACAAACCCGTTGACTTTAAACTGTGTATCTGTCTTGCTGGGTTGTAAACAGATTTTACAGCTGTTGACCAAGTGAGTCATCCTGTTTTTAATGAGGCTCATTCTCTAGTTACAAGCTGCCTTGGTGCCTTTTAAAATATAAAATATTTAAAATAAATAACAAGAAGAGAGGAAAAGTTACTTTTTCGGAGAGTAGCCAAAAAGGCAGCATCCCCCCCCCCATTTGTGTGTGGGTTGCCCTCCCAACGCCGTTGAACAGCAGCTCTCATCAGCCTGGTCAGCAAAAGTCAGCTCCTTCAAGCCAGCTTTGGGAAACAAATGATCTGTGAAGTCAAAAAGCTTGCACACTTTTTTGGGAGGAGGTCTTGATTAACCCAAGAGAGTGATGGCTTTCATGGTATTTATTTTTTGGTCTCTTCTGGTGTAAGAGACGAAATTGCATGGTGATGAATCAGCTTTGGGAATGGGGTATAACTATAAACATTGCTCCTTACATCTATCAACAAGGCTTCCTACAGAAGGCAGAGGAGCCTTGCCTAGTAAAGAAATTGGCAAGCACAAGTTTCTTTCTCCCCACCCTTCAATTCCATTTCTACTGCTCCTGCTATATTCCTAAACCTTTCTTTGACTGCCAAGGCACGTTGTCTTTCTGCTACTGGCGTTATTTATTTGTTAGTTCCAATTTCACATCAGGCCTTAGCTTAGCCACCTCGCTCCCAGTGTCATTCCGCCCAATGCAAGGGGTGTGAAGGACCTCGTGGAAGAAACCGAGCATGCGCCTTGAGATCTCCCGTGTCAGCGGCGGCCGTTTTATCTGCCCTTAGCTAACATGGCGGCTGTTATGCGGACAAACGCCGCAGGTAACCCCACCCACCTCCTCGCCTTAATCCTGAGCATGCGTAGTTACGTTCCCGGCTCCCCTCCCAACGGAGCCAAGATGGCCGCCCATTTTGCCTCTCCGCCCCTCCCTGAGACTACGCATGCGCGCCCGGGGTCTCCTTGTTGTGGTCGGCGGTTGCCGCCCTCCGCCTTGCCCTAAGTGAAGATGGCGGCGGCCCCATAGGTTTCCCGGCACGGCGCACGCGCGGCTGCTCCCGGCGCGGCCTTACCTTGCCCGGAGTCAAGATGGCGGCGGCCTGAGGGGACGGTTGAGGGGAAAGAAGGCGCTTCCCTCCGGCCGAGGGAAGGCGGCCGGGATGCTCCGCTCCAGCGGCTTCTTCCGCGGCGTCGAGTGCCCTTTTGGGCCGGCCTGCGGGAGGCCCTACTGCCACTTCCGACACCCCCCGGGGGCTCCCCTCACGGCGGCGGCGGCGGGACCCCCGGGCCTTCCTCTTCCTCCTCGGCGCCCCTCCTCCAGTCGCGCTCTCTCAGGTAACGGTACTCTGCACCTGCTCAGAAGCCCTTGGGCGAGGGGAGGAAACGCCTCCGCCTCTCTTGAAAAAAGGCACTCTGTACACGCTCAGAGGCTCATTGGGGTGGAGGAGAAGGCGGCCAAGCTCCCTGGGACTGAAAAGCGCTCTGCACGGGCTCAGAGGTTTGTTGGGGTGGGGGGAGAAGGGGGCCGGCAGAGTGGGATTGACAGGCGCTCTGCACATGCTCAGGGTTCGCGGCACAGGGGCCGGTGAGGGAGCGGTGGAGCTGAGGGAACTTCTGCGCATGCTCAGAAGCTCGGCTTCGCTTCCTTGGGGCAGGTAAGGGAGTGGGGCAGCGTAAGGGAACTCTGCGCATGATCAGAAGCGCTGTGGGGGGCCCGAGTATGGCAAGAGGGCGCTCCAGATAAAGCCTCTTGACTCCAAAAGTCCTTTGCGCATGCTCAGAGGCTGTGCCGGGTGGGTGGGCCAGAAAGGGAGCTGCAGGCATGGGCCGAAAGGTGCTCTGCACATGCTCAGAGGTGCTTCAGGGGCGAGAAGGGGTGGAAGGAGGCTTCCCTCCAGCCTGTGCGAGAGGTGCTTTGTGTATGCTCAGAGGCATGATGGGTGGGAAAGCAGACCATCCCACCTCACCTGTGTCAAAAGCACTTTGTGCATGCTCAGAGGAGCAGCTGGATGGAGAAAAAGGGGACTAACAGAGGTCCTAACCCAGCATCCTCAAGGGCTATCCTGGTTTCTTCCTTGCCCTGGGAGAGTGGACTCCACATGCAAAGGTTGCACTCTGCTTAAGCCCAGATGCCCTCTTGATTTCCTCCAGTTATGACACTAAACTTTCTGTTTTTTCTCTAAATGGCCCCCACCTTTGCAGCGGCAGTAGAGAATACACTCTGCACGTGGTTAGGGGCATGAGAAATGTTGGGGGGGAGAAAGAGGGCAAAGAACTCTGTGTGCGCTCAGAGGCTCTGTTGAGGGAATCGAGATGGCTTCTTCTGGCCACTTTTCCCACTTGCCCAAGAGTATAGGAGGGTAGGGATTTTTTTTAAAAAAAAACTTTTTAAAATACTTCTTTTTTCATTCCTAGCACTAAAATATCTTCTGTAACTTGGCATTCTCCTGATCTCGGGGAAAGGGAGAGGGGGAAATGTGTAAAATAAGCCTTCAGGAGCCCCCTTAAACTTGAGAAATAACTCAGTGCGGTTTCTCTTTTTTGCTTCAAAGAGGGAAGTGTCTCTTTAAGAGCACCGCATGGATGTGGAAGGTGGATCTTTGACGGGTTTCCTGCTTGCCTTTCCTCCTGGTTTGCTTTCTGAGTTTATCTTTGCTGTCTAGGAGAGAAGTCCAGGCACCCATGGTTGGGTTTTGGGGCATCTTTGTGTTGGGTGGGGGGCTGAAGCTATAAAAAATACTGTAGATTCTTAAATTGCAACACAGTGGGTGGGGGGGGGAAGACTTTTATTTTTGGAAGGAGTGACAGCATGAATAAGTACCTTTGTTGCTTGCTAACCCATGAGAACTCAGGTAAGGAAAAAGAAAATCATACCATCCACATATTTTTTTTGGGGGGAGGAGGTTTTGGGAAAGAATAGTGTGGTCCTAAGGTGTTTGCTTGGGGCGAACCAAACCCCCCATTCCAGGTGAGTAGCCATACTTACCTGGCTGTGGAAACCACCCTGCAGAAGGAGCTTGCGTGGAATTTTGATCGCTTCCCCTCCTTTTCTCCTGTTCCTTCCTTTTCTCCGAGAAAACACCACCACCAAATTCTCGCTTGCCTCTTCAGCCCTTTGCTGGTTGAGCGGTCGGGTCAGATCTTTAGTCATTTTCATAAGGAGGTTCACGGCGCCAAGTCCCTCCTGGATCCTTGCCCCAGCTGGGGAAAAATAAATAATTGCTGTTCTAGGAAAAGCGAGGGGGGGGATCCAGCCGTCCACACAACTTTATTAGGAAACAGCACAAGATTGATGAGTTTTCATCAAGGGCTCCAGAACTGCTTCTTAGCCGAGGTGTCCGCAGAACAGAGGGAGAAAATGACAAAAGCTGCCCAGGATCCAGGTGTTCGTGACTGCGTGTTACCTGCCGGTCCAGTGGACAAGCAAGATCACAAATCCAGCTTTTTTTGAAGAGGGTGATGTGTGGCTCCATTTACACCTGGCCCTGGTAGTGTTTGTTCAGAGGTTTATTAAACACCTGTGGGAGCCTGCATTGTCTTTAGGGCAGAAGTGCGGCGCAACATGGCAACCTTCCCGTCAGCATAGCCTGAAATGTAATTAACGAGGCGTCTTCTCCATGATCCCCATTTTCCTGAAACCGGTTCCGGCTGCAGCCCATTCTTGTTTACTAGAAGCCTTTAATTCTCCCCAATGGGTTACTGAAATAATCCTTGCGTGGGGTTGTGGGGGGGGAAAGGGAGGGAATTTTAGCTCATTTTTTTTGGGCACCCTGTGCTCGTTTCCAGCTAATTATAGATGGCGCGGTTGGCTTTGAAGTGCAGGTGTTCAAGAGCATACAAGTCCCTGCTTTGTGTACGTGGTGTTGTGTTTCTTGTGTTTTTTTTTAAAATTAGGGCAGACTTCGAAGGAGTGAAACCTGCCAGAGTTTCCAAAGCAGGGTTTGAGTTGCGTTTTTCAGTTCTGTCTTGACAGCTTACCATGAATGAAAGGTGCAAGCTAAAAATATGAGGTAGCATCTACTTCCCCTCACTCACGCACACATTCCCTTTGAAAGCTCAGGTGCCTGGTGGGCGCCTTGAAGATTAAACGTTCCACAAGTGGATGGATTGCCTAGAAAAAGAAAAGTTCTCTTGGAGGTGGGGTGAAACAGGGAAGGAAGGCGAGCTGGCAGGATCTTGGGATAGGAAATGACCACGCTGAGCCAGTGCTCGGTGTAAGACTTGGTGGTCTTATCTGTGGTTTGTCAAGGGAGGAGAATGAAGGCGACAGACTTGAGAAACCGATAAAAGAAGCAGTATAAGGAACAACCTCCTTGAACGTCTCTGAAGCTGCTCTCCGGGAGTTGTCTTAGAAGCGGTGGGAAAAGTCTTTACTGATCTGAGGGAATGTAGTGCGAGGCGGACTTCCAATTCCACATTATTCCGCTCCTTGGAACTGTTTTGCAGCTGTCCACACTGCCCGTTAGGTGGGGAGGATGGGTGTCGGAGTAGCCGTGTCTTGCGTTGGCTGACAGCTGCCTCCAACCTATCAAGGCCCCCCGCCCAGCCTCTTTCCTCAGCCTGATGGGTCGACGGGCAGCTGAAGGAAAAGAGTCTGCCGTAGGACTGGAGTTTGCTGTTTTTCCCTTCGGATTTATCCAGATTTCTAGGAAGAAAGTGAATATATATATATATATTTCTTTTTCCAGGCTGTGGCTATGACCCTTACAACCCGGAGCTCCCAAAGCCTGTGGCCCAGAGCAGCAACGGTACTTTGGAGGACCTTCAGGAGCCCTCCGCTGGCATCCTCGAGCTCGAGCTGGTCAACCGGGCCATCGAGGCAGCCCAGAACGAATATGAGCGTGACAAGAAAAAATACGAGGAGCTGCTGGAGACGGCCAAGGAGTGCGGGGCCGCCGACTCCCCGTCGTTGGGTTCCGAGCTGGCCGGGTCCCAGCTGTTCCCCTCCTTGGAATACATCCCGGGGAGCTACGAGGCAAGTGGGACGGCGGACTACCACCCGACCCCTCTCGCGTCAGCGGCCACCTCCGACCGGTCCAGCAAATACACTTTGGATTCCTCCAGCAGTGGGAAATCGAGGGGCAGCGCGCTGGAGTACGTCCCCACGGTGGTCACCCAGCCGAAGAAGTACAGCTGCCTGCCTGCGAACAGCAAATACGTCGTTGACAAGTCCAAGCCGTCAACCGATCTGGAGTACGACCCCCTTTCGAATTACTCCGCCCGGCTCCTGAGCAAAGCCAGGGCGCAGAAGGAGACCAAGCGCAAGAGGGCCGTTGAGCGTGGGGAGCCGTATTCGCCGCCCCACAAGCAGCGGCGCGATTCGTCCAGTGATCCGGAACCACCGGCTAGGTTCTCCGACTCGGACGAGGAGCCTCCGGGGCCTTCCGGCCTCCCGTCGAAGTCAAAAGGTGATGCGGGCAGCGAGTCACCTGGTGGGCCCGTCGCCAGAGATGAGGGAGCCCAGCCAACGGACCCCGTCTCGCGGCAAATGAAGGAGACGGCGGTGCAGTACGACATGGGTGACATCCAAAGCCACCTGGAAATCTTGGCCCGAGACTCGAAGGGGGCGAAGCTGGCCCGGGCGCCCACGGACGGCGGCCTGAAAGGGGACGGGAAGGAAAAGCCGAAGGAGAAGGTGAAAAAGAAGAACGCCGACAGCCGCAAGACAGAAGGGAAGAAAGAACAAGGCAGAACCGCCGAGAAAGTAAAGACGGAGGCCAAGTCGCGGCACAGGAATGGCGAGAGAGGGAAGGAGAAGCAGACCAAGAGGCCTGTCGATGGGCCCTTGAAGAAGCCCAGCAAGGCTAGATCTTCCGGAGGGGTGGACAGTAAAGGAGTGAAGTTAAAACCAGACCAGGCCCCACGGCCTGGAAAAGCAGAGGCAGGAGGGAAGAAGGACGGCAAGCCCCCGAAAGCGGACTCGAAAAAGAAGGCCGAGGCGTTGAGGGCCCCAGAGAAGGATGGGAAAGGTCAACGGCCACGACCAGAGCGGCCCCAGGGCACGCCGACCGGCGCCCCATCCACGGGCGGCTCTGGAGCGAGGTGTAAGGCCAAACAGCGGGCCTTGAGCCACGCTGACCTCTTTGGCGACGAGAGCGGAGATGAAGGGGCCGCCGCAGACCTCCCAGAGGCGTTCCCGGATGTGAGTTCGGATTCCGAGGGGGACGGGGCCTGTTTCGCTTTGCCCCGAGACCACAGGGGTTTGGGCGTGAAGCGGCCAAAGCCGTCCCGGAGCCCCTCTTCGTCGTCCTCCTCCTCCAACATCGACTATTCCCTCCTGGAGAAGGAGCTGGACTTGGAGTCGGATCCCATGGAGGAGTGCCTGCGGATATTTAACGAGTCCACCGATGTCAAGACGGAAGACAAGGGCCGGATGGGGAAACAGGTAAGCTTGGAACATGGAGAGTGGCGAGGCCGGCTGGCTGGCCGGCCTGAGGTGTGTCTCCCTGGATGCCAGCCCCACTGTTTTAGTGGGAATTTTTTGTGCATAGAGGGAACCGCCACCCACAGATTCAAAAGCATTCGCCCTTGTTTCCAAACCAGCACGTTGTCTCTCTCTCTGTCTGTCTTTCACCCTGTCCCCTGTAGCCGTCGAAAGATGAAGGGGCCGAGGAGAAGGGGCCGGAAGACAACCTGACCACCCTTTTCCCAGGCCAGAAACGCCGGATCTCTCATGTCGCAAAGCAAGGCAACGTAAGTGGAGTTTGGAGCTTCCCCAAAAGGTCAGAGAGCAGGAGAGTGTGGGTGCTGGACATACTTTTCTGGGCCACAGGGCCCTGTGGGTCTTCCTCCGCCCCACGACGCAGCTCTGCCATCTGCCCCAAAGAAAGGACCAGGTTTCCAGCTGTAATTTGTTGGCAGGTTATTTCCTTCATGTTGGGTGTAGCTCGCCGGAGGAGGCAGTGGGGGGACTGTGAGGGCAGCAGGAAAAGAGGAAGGTCACACAAGGGATGGACTGACTCCATCTAGGAAACCACAACCATGACGTGTGTGAGTCTTGAGCAGGGCTGTTACAAGAGGGCCAGTTAGACCTCGGTAATCCATAGGTTGCCATCAGCTGGAAGCAACTTGATGGCACCTAAGCAAAACAGGAAACCATCTTAATCCTAGAATAGCAGTGCAGGAAGGGACCCTCTGGACCATTGAATCTGGCCCCTGTCAAGGAGGCCCAGTGGGGCAATCGAACTCCCGCCCTCTGGCTCCAGAGACTTCTTGTTTACTTCTTCGCGGCTGCCCATCAGCCCCCTCTTGTTTCAACAAGCCGAGCCCACGGTCGGCACGACCTCTCGCTTTGCCAGGTTACATGTCCTCCGCCCGCCCATCCATTAAGCCTTCCTCTACCACCCTTGAAAGAGATAACAGGCTCAGAGGAAATGGGACGGAAAAAAAAACCCTTCCTAATTCAAATATTTGCAGTTTTTTAAGCTGCCATGCAAGGCTTTTACCAAACCACCTTGGAAAGGCGAGAGCAGTTTTGTATGCAGAGGTTGGAGAAACTGCTGGATTGCTCCGGGTTTTAAGTCTCTGGCTACAAGGGCAGAAGTTGGGAGGTTGGGCTCCCCCACTGTCCTTCCTTGACACACAACGATCCTGGGGTTTGAGTTTTCCTTGTCTTTAGAGACCCCATTGTCTGTGTCATCCAGAAATCTAAAGGTCCACCTGTTAGTCCCAACAGAGTGGATCTTCTGAATTGTCACCCTTTGCAGGCTGGAAGCATTAGGTCTGTTCAGGCTGAGGCTCACAGTCAGATTTAGCTTGGCCTTTTGGCTTCGTCCGTTTGGAAAGCCGTGAACGCCTGTGGCGCTAAATTCAACGTCGCCTCGGCCGGACCAAACTGCGGCTCTCTGTTCCCCTGCGCAGGCCGATGGCCCGAGCAAGCCAGTGGTCCGTCCGTACCGGCCCCCAACGGCCCAAGAGGCCTGCTACCAGAGGATCCAGATGGCTCAGAAGCAGGCGGCGCAGCTTGTCCAGCAGCAGCGGGTGCAGCCCTCCCTGGCGACCCCCCAACGCAGCACCCCCCTCGCGACGCACAAAGGAGAAAGGCGGCGGATCGCCCATGTGCCCAACGCTGCTGTTCCCCTATCTTTGAATTCTGGTATGCAAGCATTTCCACTTTGTTGGGGAAGATCTTTCTGTCTCTTGGCGGGGGGGACCCGAAATCACGTTGCCTCCAACGAGGTCCTTTTAAAACTGCTCATTTGGGACATAGTGTCTTGATTTTGGGGCTCAGTCGTTACAAGATTTTAAGGGTGTGTTTTTTACAGCAGGTTTCCGACTCGTTGCTAGCGTCCTCTCAGGGATGCTGACGTTTATGAGCGGGGAGAATAAATATTCATCATATTTTGGGTGATTCCCATCGGCTTATTCATTGCAAAATAAACGGGAAAAGGCATGCTTTATAGGAGAAAAGTGTGGTGGCCAAGAAACCTGGGGGATTCATTAGCATGTGGTGCAGGATTGTCACTTAGAGCAGAGGTGTGAATGCATGGGTCCCCTGTTGTTCTTTGACTACAACTCCCAGCAGCCCTGGCCATTGTCTGTGGCCGCGAAGGCTTCTGGGAGTTGCTGTCTCCGAGCACCCGCGCCCTGCCCCCATATTTGGGGACCACGGTGATGGCAGCCAAGGAACAAAACAGACAAAATTGCAGACATCGAACGGCTCGATGTTTGAGGCCTCTCTCGTCCGTGAAACATCTTTTCTCACCGACCTCCTCCATCCCAAAATAGTTTCCCTGCGGCCTTCAGCTTCTCTTGACTCAGGAAAGTCCGATGGTGCGGGGTGGGCTTCCTTTTCCGATCCCTGGCTGCCTGTTGTTTCTGTGCCCTTTCCAGCCCACGGAAGGCTCAAGAAGACCCCTCCGCCGGGCAGCAACGTCTCCACCAACGGCACAGACACCCCCTCCCTCAAAGCCCGCACCCTCGCTGGCATGTCGTCCAAGACAACTACCACAACCGTGCCCAAAAGGGTGGCCCACGCGCCCACGCTGCAGGTGAACCTCTCCCCGTTTCCTCTCCCCCCCCCCGCCGCCCACCCCCCCTAGAACTGCTTTTACAGGTCTGTCGCCTCTTGGCAACGTTTGTTTCTTGGGTCCCTAGAGCGCGACTCTGAAGCGGCCGGTGATTCCCACCGAGTTTGGCGCCAAGGTCCCGACCAACATCCGCCAGAGGTACCTGAACCTTTTCATTGACGAGTGCCTGAAAGCCTGTCCGTCGCCGCAGGAAGCATTTGAGAAGGTTTGCGGGGAGAGGAACTTTACACGGGGCACCCGGTTGGTTTTAATCTCGCTTCTCGTTCCGAAAGGTTCACCTTGGGGCAAGCAATCTTGTCGGCTTAAAAAAATGCAGCTATGGTGGTCATATATTGGAAATATAAAATTTTATATATATTAAAAAAATTATGAGAATCTCCTGGCCATAGGTGGAGGAATTTTGATGGCTGAGACAGCACCCTGTTTCTCCCAGTCATCCCAGAGAAAATCTGGTGGGCTTGAGCTGCGGTGAGGTTTCCTCTCCAGGTAAAGCCACAGACTCAGGTTTTTTAAAAAAATCTAACGGGCTTGTAGTTCTACCCAGAAAGCAGCCAGTCCCGAGTTCTAATTCATCCCCCTTTTTGTGGTCTGTCTCTGCAGCCAGTGCTTTTGCCCCAGTTGGTCTGTTAGATTCCCAGACGCGCTAAGGCGCTGCCTCTTTTCCTCGCAGGCGCTCTCGGAGGAGAAGGTGGCCTACGACCGCAGCACCAGCCGGAACATCTACCTGAATGTAGCCGTGAACACATTGAAGAAGCTGAGGAGTCTGCTGCCGGGCCCCGCGCAGGAGATGCACAGTAAGTCAGAAGACTTTTGCACAGGGCCTTTACCGTAATCTCCGGCCTTTGTCCAGTTGATGTTGCCGATCTGAAAGGGCCCGTCCCGATTGCGGCTGGCGTTTCAAACACTGGCACCTTTCGGGCCCTCGGTAGGTTGTGTGTTCGAATGCTTCGGCAGAAACTCTCGCGCCACCCTCTTAGCGCCGCAACATCCTCGACTCCTCCACCCTCTGCCTTTTCCCTCTTTCTCCATTTTCAGAGAACAGCAACCGTAAAGTGGTTTCTCACGAAGCCATGCTCGGCGGAAAGCTGGCGGCCAAGACCAGTTTTTCGATTCACCGCTCCGTCAGCTTACGCGTGGAAGACCTGACAGGTGCGTTTCCTATTCTGTCGTCCGTGGGTGGGCGCCTTTCCTCTAGCTGGGGTGGGGCATGTTTTAAATCATTTCCAGCACGTGCGAGGAAGCTGTTAAAGCCCTAAATATAACAGGGATGCTCCCACGAACCTAAAAAACACCCCCAAACCTAACAACCCCGAGGTGTGCTTAACCAGCCTGGGATAATCTCTTGCTTTCGGGAATGGAGGGAGGCGGCCGGCCCGGTTCAGTGCACGGGTGGCTTCACTTCTCAGCTCTTGCCCTCCGCAGGGGCCGCCCTCTATCAAAGGCTCAAGGAGTACTTGCTGACCGAGGAGAACCTGAAGGAGCACGGCTACCCCTTGCCGTGTCCCGAGAAAGCAGGCCGGGCTGTCGTCTTCACCGCGGAAGAGAAGAAAACGGCCGAGAGTAAGCTCTCATGGTTTAGGGTGTGTGTGTGGCATTCGATGGTACAGTGGCCTGGCTTTTTTGTTCCGTTTTTCTTTTGGAGAGGACCGATCCAGCCGCTCTCTCTCACTCTCTCTCCTCCCCCCCCCCTGGTGGGAAGAGGCCGTCTGGAGTTTGACACAGTCCTCACCACTGTGTTTTGATTCCATCTCTAAAATCGGATTTGAGTCCTGCCGCTTGCGGGCCCTCCGTGGCCTTTCAGGAGAATTTGGGCGGCCCTCAAGGCCTCAGTAAGAGAAATGGAATGACCCAACGCAGCCGCTGAACGGTGTGTTGGAAAATAACTCAATCCCATTGATTCCAGAGTGTGCTCTCTTCTGGTCTGGTCCTGGATCAGTTTATTTATGATACATTAATTCAAAAAATATATTTTTAACCCAGTCTTTTCCCCCTTAGACAAAGAACCCCGGGTGGCTCACACCTTTACAAGCAAAATATTAGAACCTGGAGCATGCAAATTATGCAGATATTAAGGGAAAATTAAGAACATTTTAGTAGAAACTGTAGGTAAAAGGAGTCCTCTTTCCAAACTTCTCCTTGTGTTTTGGTCCTTATTGCTGTTCTTCCCTCCACCACGGGGAGGCTCTCTTCTGACTGAGCTTTGTAGCCATGTTTCCAGCAACCGCTTTGACGCCTGCTGTAGCAGAGATGAAGCATATAATAATAATAGTATGGTGGTGATGGTGTATGAATTATTATTATTATTGATGCCTTGTATAAATATTTGCCATATTATATCTCTTCTCTTATATCCGACAAAGTGGACTTGTCCATGAAAGCTTACACTAAAAAAGAAAATGTAAAGAATGAAGTCTTTAAGGTGCCACCCGTTTTGGCCTTTTTTTAAAAAAAATTGTTTTATTTTACTTTTGCTTTTAACCAATCATCACCGTCATCATCATCATCTTAGAATGGCAGAACTGGAAGGGACCCCTGAGGATCCCCCAGCTGCTTATCAAGGAGGCCCTGTGGGGGCGGGGGGGATTTGAACTCCCAGCCTCTGGCTCCACAGACCAGAGACCTCAATACCACCCCCCCCCCCATGTCTCTAGGCCACCTCCCCTAACTCCTTTCATATCGGTTCTCCAAGAACCAAAGGGACGGCTCGTGCAGAATCTCTAGACGTGAACACCACGGAAGATGAAAACAATCTTTAAAAAAAAAACAGGACGTACTGTAGAACTTGAATAAATCCCTTTTGTTAAAGAAAGAGTCTCTGCAGCCACCTGTCCCCCTCTTGTACTTCAAGGTTCCTGTCGCATCTGTTGCCGGTGCGGCACCGAGTACACTGTCACGCCGTCGGGAAACTGCGTCCGCAGAGAGGAGTGCGTCCACCACTGGGGGCGCCTGCGGAAGCAAAGAGGTAATGGGTTTTTATTGCATGTGTGGGGTTTTTTGTGTTGGTTTGTGTTTTTTGCATTTGAAATCCTCACCTTTTGTCTGGCACAGCTCGGCTGTCCTTCTCGCCACGGACACGTGCATGAAAGTTCGGACCTCGCCTCATCCTTCGCAGGGCACGTGACATGGACGTTTCGTTGCCCCATTGTTGGCTGGAAAAAGACCGCCGCAAAACTCGGAAGGGTAGCCCCTGGCTTCCAAGTTGGGAGGTGGCCCTCGGGTCTTCTCGCGAGGAGCCAGCCACGTGGGTTTCCCATCTGCGCCGCTTTGAGCGCTCAGCAGAAGGAAGGTAGAGAAAGCTGTGCACCGACTGAGCGCTGACCCCCCCCTTTGTTCTTAGTTCCAGGCGGCTGGGAGACGCATTACAGCTGCTGCTCGGGAGCCGTGGGGTCACCCGGGTGCCAAGTTGCCAGAGTAAGTCCACACTCCTTCCTGGTACAAGGGGCTCGGTACATGCTTCCCCCTATTTGGGGCCTCCGGAAGCCGTTGAACTCAGGATCTCAACTCTCAGGAGCCTGGCCTAACTTGGAGAGGATGGGCCTTCTAGTGCCCAAAGAGCTGGCTCTGTGCCAAAGAACGCAGTGGGTTGCTTTCTTTAATTTTCTTTCCGGATCATCTTTTCGCCCATCCTTAAGCAACACGTCCATGACGGCCGCAAGGACAGCTTGGAAGGTTTCGTGAAGACCTTTGAGAAGCCGCCCAGCGCAGACGGCCACCCGGGCATCTACGCTTTGGATTGCGAAATGGTGTGTGGATCCTGCACGGGCAGAAGAGCGGCCGGGAGGGGGCGTGTCCGTTTTGTCGGGTGGATGCGTTTTCCCCCCAAAACCATTAGGCGCTCGTTTGTTGGGGGTTCCTGGAAAGAGAGGCAGAAAAGGGCCTCTCCGGGTGGCTTTCGCTCTGGGTTTTTCTGCTCTACCCAGTGGGGGTGAGACTTGATGGCCTTTGGGAGCCCCTTCCAGCTGTACAGGTCCGTGACGGTGAGGCTCTGTGTTCTTTCCGCAGTGTTACACCAAGCAAGGTTTGGAGCTGACCCGCGTCACAGTGATCAACTCGGACCTCCAAGTGGTGTATGACACTTTCGTCAAGCCGGATCACAAAGTGGTGGATTACAACACCCGGTAAGGAGGCCTCTCTCTGTGAGCATGCGCGTAGAGGACGGCATAAACCAGCATGAGTGGGGGCAACGTAGCCAGGGCCTGTGGGGTGGAAACCCCAGGACTTTCTGACCAACAGGGACCAGCATGAGCTTTATTACATAATCTTCTCCCTCGTTGGAAAAGGGTGATTTGTAACCGAAACAGCCTCCTTTAGAGGGGTTTGACTGATGAGTCTCTTGGTGAGTTTCTGCTATGGAATCCGTCTCCCTCTTCCATCCAGAAGGTGTGTCGGATCAGTGGCCTTGCGCAGAAACAGAAACCTAGGGGGTTTCCTCGGTTCTTGGTGGCTTTTTGGATTTCATTCCCCAGCCCATTTAAAGCGCTGGAGCTGGAGCCGAGACCTGAAAAGCTGAACCCAAAGTCTGGTTTGCAGCCATGACCGTCCCTGGATTTTCTCTTTAAGAAGTGGTTTAGGGTAGATCCTATTCCGAAGGGGAACATTTGGGGGGTGGGGATGGGGGGAATAAGAGATAAGGTGGGGCCCAGGGATGTTTTCGCCCAGCCGCCAGGCTGACAACATGGGTTTTCTCTTTCGCTAGGTTTTCGGGTGTGACAGAGGCGGACCTCGAGAACACCTCCATCACCCTCCGTGACGTCCAGGCAGTGCTCCTGAGCATGTTCTGCGCGGACACGATCCTGATCGGGCACAGCCTGGAAAGTGACCTATTTGCACTCAAGGTAGCACCAAAGAGTGGGGGGAGGGAGATCATGGCTCGATATGGGACAAGCTGGGGAAGGGGAAGGGGATGGTGGTGGCGGCTGAGTTCTTCCTTTCCCTGGTTCACTTCCTCTTGTTGTTCCATGCCATCAAGTGGTCTCCGACTTATGACCCCATGAACGACCAATCTCCCAAATGCTGCCTCTCTCCCCCCCCGCCCTGGGAGTCTCATCTTCCAGCACTATCGCTTGTTTCATTTCCACACGATCCCAGACATCTACTCGCCTCTGACCCGCGGCACCCCTGTGAACGAGCAACCTCCAAAATGTCCTGCCCCTCAACTTCTTCTCTGCTCAGCTCTTGCAAAACTCCAGCCTGTGGCTTCCTTGAGGGAGTCCGTCCATCTCGTGTTGGGTCTTCCCCTTTTCCTGCGGCCTCTCACCTTTCCCTGTATTTTCCAAAATGCCCGTTTAAACTGGAACTCTGCCTCCAGGAGGCAGCCTGCTTCTGTCAATGTTGGTGGCCGTTGTTTCGCAACTTAGAATCACAGAATGCTTTAGCCTTGTAGAGACTGAAGGGGCCCTAAAGGTCATCTAGACCAACCCACCACTCCACTGTAGAAATCTGCAAGCCATCCATCCCTAACAGGTGCCCCCCCCCCGACCTCTGTTTTATGAACACATCTCTACCACCTTCTGAAGGAGTCTGTCCCCTTCTGGATAGCTTGGGAGGGATGGAGGTCTCTCTCTGCAGAGCCAGAGGTTGGAAGTTCGAATCCTCTCCACTGTGCTTCCTTGAGGGGGGCTGGACTCGAGGATCCCTAGGGGTCCCTTCTGCCCTTCTACGCCGACACGCGTGATGATGACTCTCCCAACAGCTCTGACTACTGGGAACACGTCTTATGTGGAGTGGCCTTTTTCATAACTTGATTCCGTGAGTCCGGGATTTGAAATATGACTCCTGTGGGTCCTGTAGAAAGCACACTGTTGTCCGTGGGGGCCGCAGCGTCCCTTGGCTGTTCCTTATTTTTTTAAAAAAAAAGTTAAAAAGAGACAAAACTGGTTAAATAACGTCTGCCAAAGGGTGAAAAATGTCGAAGCTGGCCCCCGCAGGCGTACCGTTTCTGCAGGGTTCCCATTATTATTTCCCCCCCCCTTCCTGGCTTGCCACAGTCACTCCCAGGAGGCAGCGATGCCCGAGTCCCCCGCAGATATTTTTCCGGCTCTCTCCCAGCAGGGACCCAGAATGACCGGGGGGGGGGCACAAGACTTGAAGCTGGAAAGGTCAGCCAGGGAAGAGGAAGGAAAGGGACCACTGATCATCCTCCCTGGTTTTTCCTTTCTCTAAGCTCATCCACTGCACAGTGGTGGACACGGCTGTCGTTTTCCCTCACCGCCTGGGTTTGCCTTACAAGCGGGCGCTGCGCACCTTGATGGCCGACTACCTCAAGCGCATCATCCAGGATAGTGGTGAGATTTTTTTTCCACGGGTTTTGGGGCCCTGTCCTGTTCCTGGAACTCCCTGCCCCCCGAGGCTTTCACAGGACAGGGAAGGGGGGTTTCAACGGCTGGATTGCTCAGAGTTTCAGATCTCCGGCTGCTGAGCCAGAGTTTGAGAGTCTGATTCCTCCCACGGGGCCTCCTTGTTAGGGGCTGGACTGGATGATCTCGAGGACCCCTTCCACCTCTGCTGTTCCAAGATCTATCATGATGATGATGTTGACTCTGAGGCTCAGGCTTGGCCTGAAACGGAGTGAGGTGCCTCCGGGGGTTGTTGGACTGCTATTCCCAGACATCCCATACCCACTTGGCTAACAGCCAGCGCCGCTGGGAGTCATAGTCCTAAAAAATCAGGGCGACGTGGAAACCGCTGCCATACGTATTTGCATCTCCCCCTGCTGCGGAGAAGAGTAGCCCCTTCTCTTTCTAAAGCCATCTTTGTGGCTTAAATGAAGAAAACAGGGGGCTTGTCCCAATGATGATCACCTATTCACCCTTCTGATCTCTTAGAGAAGACCTGTGTTTTTTATTCGAAGAACGAAAACTGTCTTATTTTGTAATCGGAAAGGGTTTATTACCTTTTCCTGTTTTTTCTTCTTCTCACGCCCGGCAGTGGAAGGCCACGATTCTAGCGAGGACGCCCGAGCCTGCATGGAGCTGATGATCTGGCGGATCAAGGAGGACGCGAAGGTGAAGCGATGACGTGGGTGTTTTTCGCCTCCGAGGCACCGTGCAATAGCAAAGACACACACACCCCCGGGAAGCTGTCGCTGGTCACATGCCGACATCTCCTGGACTTTCTCCCCCACTACCCTACCCCATCCACCTTCCTTGTGGGTTTCCTACAAAACTGGGAGAGAGAGGGGCCTCCTTCTGCTGGAACAGTGACGGGGCACCGCCTCCATTTCCCTGGAAAAATCTGCACCCTGCAAGTGACGAGGAGTGAGCGTGCCAACCCAGGCCCATCGGAAAAGGGCAGGACAGCCCCCCAGAGGCACTGAACTATGCTGTTTCTCTCCCCCACCGCATCCCACCTTATTTATGAATTTTAAGCCGTTCCCTTCTTTTTTTAATTTAATTTGGGGTCTTGCCAGTGACGTGGGTGCCGTGCGTGGTACGTGAACCAGCCGAGAAAGAGACAAAACGAGTACTGAGCTGGCCCGATGGAGGCAGAAGAGGTCTGCGTGGAAAGTAAATGTGTTAGATATAAAAGGGCAGGAGCGTTGGGGGTTCCCAGCAACAAGGTGGAAACTGATGGCAGGGTGATCAAGCGCAGGAGAGGAAGCGTGTCGGATCTCTGGGTCCGGCCCGATGGTGGGAGGCCTCTCCCCCTCTTTGGCCTGGGGGCGTGGATGCCCAGCGGGAGTCAGCCGCTACCCAACCTCAAGCCCCAACCCATCCGGGGGAGCAGGGGTCTACCAGGAAGGCCAGTGACTTCCCCCTTTGGGCAGGATCCTTAGCACTGATCACTGTAAATGGAAAGACCCCCCGCCTCCGCTCATGTAGGCTTTGCTTTGTCCAGCAAAGGGGACTGGGTTGTACCTGCTAGTGAGCATGATTTTTGATGGGGAGGCCCACATTCCACCCACCTCTGGCCATAAAACCTCCTCCTTGCATTTTCCTCTTTCCTACGGCTCGGCCACCCTTGCCGGCTTCTTCTGATGTGCACCCGGACCGATAGCCCTGGTCCGACTCCTGTTTTTCCTCGGAACACCCACCCAGGGTCCGACTCTCTTGGTCTGGGTTTTCCCGACAGCTACAAGAGGTGATCACCACGGGGGTGGTGGTGGTGTCTAGGTTTGGAGAGGTTAAAAACATTGTAAAAGGATGGCCTTGTCAGGTAGGGCAGTTTGTCCGAATAAACAATCTGAAGTGGAAGGTTATGGGGGAGAAGAGAGACCCCCATCTCTTGACCAGGGACCCCGACATCCATTCCCTGCCCTTGCCATTTCTAGATGCAGGCTGAGAAGAAAGACCAGCTTTGCTCCTTCATTCTCCGCATTCTCCTGCCGCATGTCACGCTTTCCAAAGCTCCTCTATGACATTCGGAAACACTGGATTTATATATGCCTTCCTGTCGTGGGTAGCTTTGTGAAACCTTTCTCTTTCCCTGGGCAATTCTGCCAAAGCGATCTGGACAGATTTAGGGAAACTGGAGCAAACATCCAGGTCCAAAGCTTGACAGGAAAGGGGATGCTAGGACTTACCGGCTTGGGACTCGCACTCTCTCGGCATGAGCATAGAGGGCAAGGGATGTAGAAACGGAACAAATGAGATGATGGAGGAGGTCCTTGTCTCGTAGCTGAGAGGATACGCAATGCTCTACAATCTCGTGCCTCGAATCTGTTGTATCCCAGAAATTGGCTTAATGAGAAAGCTCGGACGTCCCCTCTGTATCCCCGGAGTTAACGTTCTCTGAAGATGAGAGAAACGTTGAATATGTTCCGAGGGGGTCAGCGCAACATGAGCAGTCTTAGGTCCTTAATAATAATATTAATAATAACAACAACACTAATAATCTACCATTTATGAGCACTGTCGCTCCCGTATTTATCCTGTTCTGCCTCTCCCGGGCGCTCTTCTCTGTTTCTAACACTGTACAGTGCTAAAAAACAACTGCAGACTTTGTAAACGCACCACCATGTATACCTGTTTAACACTATTTTGTAATTTTTTTTAAATTAAAAGAAAACTCCCAAACAGCCATCTAAAGCGTCGTGATTTGATCAAATACCCCCAGGTCACGAGTTCAAGAGGAGCTCTAAAAAAGGCCGCAAGGAAGTCTTTGGTTTTGAAATTTTCTTTCTCAGGCTTTGAGGTTGGCCTTGCTCGGTGGAAATCCAGAATCCGTCGCTTTCTAGCGGTGGCGTCTTGCTTTTCCATCTGCCGGTGAGGAAGTTGGATCACCCTCTGGGTATGATAACACTTGTATTTGGTTGGCAAATAACAACATTTAAAAAAAACACATCTGCAGGCTTTCGAGATCACAAGGTTTCTTTAATGGGAAAAATGTTGGCCCCCAAAATGAGAGTGAGAAGTGAGTTCAGCCGCTTCCGGATAAGTGAAAACGAGGTCTTAAAAACACACTGAGTGGGTCTTAATTTTTGAGCTGGGGGAAAAAAACAGGTCTCCCAGAAGTTTTGAAGGATAAAAAGGGTTGTTTTGAGTTGTGCCAAAGAGAGGATGCGTAGCATGGCAGGGGTGATTCCCCAGTCGTGTCGTCGGAGAGGTCAAAAGGGGACCCCCGAGCAGATCTTGGAAGGGTGTTTGTGTTTGATGGAGTCTTACTTTGTCCTGGTGTGCATCTTCCCCCCCCCCGGATCTCTGTGGGACAAAGTCACAGATTCCACCCCCCAGTGCCTTTTTGTCCGGGTTATCGATCAAGCTGCCAGGCCTCATTAAATGCCCTTCTCCAGTTAAATGTCCCGTGTGTAAGCTCTGCCAGCAAATTTGGGGACAACCGCTCTGCACAGAAGGAGGGTTAAGAGTCAAGACTGGCTTTTGGGAAGCTCGCGTCCCGCTGGGCGATCGACAGACCTGTCAAAACCAATTTCCACCTTGTGATGGGCATGGGGCTTAGAGAATAATGTTCCAGGGTGGCGGCTTAACCCCTGAACAGACAACTAGTTAAACTCCGCTTAATTTGTCTGTTGATTCTGCACCTTCTCTCCCCCCCCCAAAAAATGGGCCATCGGGCTCTGCTCTTTCTCGGCTGCCTTTAATTTTCTGGTCGCGGGCCGGGGGGAGGGGGGCTCCCCAGATTCCCCACCTGGAGGAGTGTGGCCTTCGGCTGCCGTGTCTCTGCACGACACCCCGTTCTCGGGGGTCTTTTTCCCTCCGCTTGGACAGTCGCCGTGAAGACGCGGCGGATTTGCCCGCTTTCGGGAGGAGGCTCCCTTTGGGGGAAGACAAAAGGGGGGGCTCAGGAACCCAACTGGGAGAGTGGTCAAAGAGTCATTCAGGGACACGGCCTCCAAGACGGAACGATAGGATTTAAAAGGACCTTTTTTGGGGGGGGGGAAGAGAAAAGGGAACTCAGAGGAAGAACAGATGTACCCCAATCAATGACAAGAGAATGAGCCTGGCATCTGGATGGGGTTTGCTAAAGAGATTACCTCCCCCACCCTCCAGAGTCGCCCTGATGGCTGATCAATACTCAGGGCCCAATTCTGCTCGGGTCCGTGCGCCTTCCTTGTTTGCCTAAGCCCTCAATAGGCCAGGATAAGAAAGAGGGAGACGCTAAACGGGTCTTTTCAGAAGTTCCCATTGATCATCACCTATCACCCCTGAGCCTGACACCCCCCCCGTCTTTGTGGGAAGGGGGTAAGCCGCACAGACGCCCCATGAATGCCGCACGGCAGGGACCCTTGGCGACCCTCCCCGCCCGGTCTCTCCCCTGCTGTTTTTGGCTTTGGGGTTCATAACTCTGGTGGGGAGGAGAGGCTTCAAATGGGTGCCATCCTTCGGTACCTCTGCCTGAAACCCAAAGAGGTACGCCCGTGGGGCACAGTTGACCGTAACCAGCTAGGCGAACTGTGGGGGGGGGGTTGTTCACATTGTGCTCTGGTGCTGTTTTAACAGGAGAAGTGGGAGGCAGCAGGAGAAGAGGAAAACTCAATGTGAGATGGGCCAACCCCATCCAGAAAACCACGACCTTTGAGTTTGCAAGAGCAGAGCAGGGCTGTTCAGGACAAGACCTGCTTATTCGTAGGTTCAACAGAAGGGGGAATGGAACTAGATAAGTAGCAACTTAATACTCCTGAACACTAATTTTTCCATCAAAGATTTGGACATCTCACATTCTGGGCAGTCTTTACTTTACCCAGAGCATCACAAGGCCCCCAGAATTTGCACCCACACTTATAAGGAACGATCAAAATAGCTCACCTTGATCTAAAAAATAAAAAAAAACTCAGTAAGCTGTTGTTTCGTCCTGGCAAATGGGAACAGGGCATTCTGCATTTGCTCAGAGACTCCCTTGCTTCGACATCACAACGTCCAAGGCTGGCCACGCCGAGGTAGGAATGGAACGAAAGGAAAGTTTATTTTCTGCAATGTCTCATTTCCTGGGTTGCTGTTTCATTCTGATCCAAACCCCATAGCAGTGTTAAGGAAAATGGGGGGGGGGCGGAAATCAGGGATGGGTGATGACCCATGGAGAGGGAGGGTGACCTTTTCAACCAAAGGTATTCTTTTATTCCCCTCCGGAACTTAATCCGCCCTCTGAAGGGTGGAAAATGGACTCCTTTTCCTCTTCCTTTAAGCCATCTCAAGTCTCCCCAGAGAGAAAAGACAAATCTCCTTAATCCGACATAGGCTTTGGTTAAATTCCTACTGGATATGGGGTGGATGGTTCAGGGTGCGAGGAGGAGAAGGGAGGGGACGATGGGATGGGATGGGAGTGAAAGGCTGACATGCATCTTCCCCCCCCCCACTGCCCCCTGCTACCATCCCAAGCTGTTAAATAGCAGGAACGGGTCTGATTTGAGGGATTTCGCAGGGAGAAAAGGAGCGGACGAGGCCTCCCCGGCATCAGGTGAGTGGATTTCGGGTCCCAGATTTGGGGGCAAGAGCAGCCATCAGCCTCCGGGCAAGGACTTTGTAGGGCAGTGAAGGTTTGGGTGAGATATAATGAGCGGGGCTTGGGGAACATATTGAAGACGGGGTGGGGTGGGGTTTAGAGACTCCTGAGTGCGATGCTAAGGAATTAAGGATACACTGAGTGAAGGGTTTTTTGGTTTTTTTTTGGTAATTTACCCAGTGAGGTTTTGGGGGCCTGCTGAGTGAGGATTTTAGGGGCATACTGAGAGAAGGTTTGGAGGGTTTCAGGGCATACTGAGTGAGGGGTTTTGATATTGAGTGAGGGGTTTTGAGCATATTGAGTGAGGGGTTTTGAGCATATTGAGAGGGGTTTTGAGCACACTGAGTGAGAGGTTTTAATCATATTGAGTGAGGGGTTCTGATCATATTGAGTGAGGGGTTCTGAGGATACTGAATGAGGGGTTTTGAACATACAGAGTGAGGGTTTTTGATCATACTGAGTGAGGGTTTGGAGGTACCTACTGAGCAAAGGTCTTTGGGGGAACATACCGGGTGAGGGTTTGGGGGGAAAGGCGATACGTTGCCTAGTTGAAATACAGAAGCAGAGCAGATGGGGCGTGTTTTAATCTACTTTTTGATAGGTTTTAAAAATATATATATTCCCCCTTTTTTTCTAGGCAAAATAAAGGAATCACCATGTACCACCTGAGTGGGGCTTATCCATTGTTCACCTCCCTGTCCCTGGTCTACACCGCACCACCTCTACAACCGGGAGTCCCGTCTCACCCCACGCTGATGACACTGGACTCCCATAGCTCACCTTTCTATCCTATCTCTCTGAGGGACCCCTTATCAGGTATGAAGGACTGCCCTCTTTCCCCCTGGCTGTCAAAAACCCAGCACAAATCTCTCGGACAACAATGTCCATCATTCGCTGTCGGCAAGCTCATCGCCCAGCTGGGGATGATGGGCATTCTAGTCCAGCACCCTGAGAGGGGGAAGTGTGGTTTAAGCAGTGGTGTGTCATGATCGCCGTTAAAAAAGTTGCTTGGGATGTAAATCCTTTCTTTGTCAGTTTATTTCTTAGCATACGTCTTGTGCATCGTATATCAAGAGGCAGTTGGTTAGAGTGGTTAGTGGTGTTGGGAGTCCTGGGTTCAAATCTTGACTCAGCCACCAAAAACACTTGGGAAGGCCCACCTGGAGTTTCCAAGGCTGAGCGGGGTTTCAAACCCAGGTCCTGGAGTTCTAGCCCCTTCCTGTATGCACTACACTCCTTATGTAGTGAAGAGGCTGGGCATTAACAACAGCTATTACAATAATAAAAATGAGACGCACACAACAAAGCAAGAACCTGTAGAGACACAACCCATTAGTAATAAAGCTAATAGCAATTACTATATACAAATAAAAATAATGAAAGTTATGTGAATTTTGAGATGCTCCTTGCTCTCTCTGGCTCAACTTTTCTTCAGAGTGCCCTGACCTGCCTTATGGGTCCCCACCAAAACAGCGCCGGAGCCGGACAGAATTCACCCCGTGGCAACTAGAGGCTCTGGAGAGGGTCTTCACGCAGACCCATTACCCAGATGTTGGCACCCGGGAATGGCTGGCCATGTTCGTCAACCTGCCCGAAGCACGGATTCAGGTGAGCTTGGAGACCCAAAAATCTAATTGGGATGGTACGGGAAAGGTTCAACCCTATACCTGGGCACCTTACTTTTTAAAAAGAGCTGGTCCTTCTACTGTAGGACTCCCCCCTTGTATCCGCCAGATCAGTATTCACGGTCTGAAAATATTAAAAATATTAAAGAAAAAACTAGAAATGTGTATTTTCACAGTGTAGTTCTCAGAACGGGCCACTAGAGGGAGCCAGAGACCATGCTATGTATTCTTGTTGAAAAATACATAACTTGGTCTTTCAATCCCTCTAGTGGCCAGTTCTGGTAATACATAGTGGATATGGGTTCCTATCATACAGTGGTGCCTCGCGTGATGACGTTAATTTGTTCCGCGAAAATCGCTGTAAAACGAAAACGTCGTCATGCAATTTTAAAAAGCCCATAGAAACACATTAAAACCCGATTAATGCGTTCCTAAGGGCTTCAAACTTACTGTCCAGCGAAGATCCTCCATAGCGCTGCCATTTTCGCTGCCCGTGCAGCGAGTAATCCGTGCCAGAAAATAGCGGGCGGCCGTTTTTTCTACCCGGCGGCCATTTTGAAACCGCCGATCTGCTGTGGGAAAATCATCGCTTTGCGATGATCGGTTACTGAAACAGGGGACTGATCATCGCAAAGCGAAATTCCCCCATAGGGAATTCGCCTTAATTTACATCGACGTAAAGCGATTTCATTGTCAAACGGAGTGCTCGTAATGCGAGGCACCACTGTACTTAGAAAATGACCCGTTGGAAGGTTTATCCATCGCCATCTTTTTCCCCTGAGGGCTCCTCATCTTTTCCACTAGCAGCAATATATAATATAGTCTCATCTATGCAAGGAGTGGCTGGATCTTTTTTGAGCGTGACTGGTTTTAGAGAAGGAAGAATCCTATTTCCAAATCGTTTTCAGGAGCGAAAGAATTGGAGGCTTTAAAAATAATAATAATACAGAAGCAAGAAAAGGATCTTCCATTCCTGTCTTTGTTGGCCACCTGCCCTCCAACTGAGATCTCCAATGCATTTAAGATCTGGTGGGGTGGTGGAGTTAATCTATTTTATTTTTTTGCATTGTATCCATTTTTTTTAATGCAACACGGGATGATTGTTCAGAACAGGCTGTGGAATAGCCTTGACGATGTGCATTCCTCCTCCGGTAGGAAGGAGATCAGAAGAAGAAGATTTATTATCTTCCCTTCTTTTATCCCGCCCGGAGAGGTCACAAAGATCTAAACAGATGTAATCAGAACTTTCTGTCACGGTCTGGGAGGTCCAGCTCTCGAGCGGAGATCTAGATTTGCAGAACTCGTTCTTCACAAAGGCCTCACCCCCGACTGCTGGAAAGTTCTGGTTTTAGATCTCCAGAGGTTGGGAGTCTGAATCTCCCACTCAGCCATAGGGGTCCCTCCCAGTTCTGCCATTCTAAGATTATAGTTTCAGCTTCCAGCTGCCGGCAGCCCCCGTAGAAAAAGGGGAAAAAATCCACACCATGATGACGAATGATGATTGCTAGGAATGCTTTTCGTAATGCATTCCCTCATGCGGAAACCGCCGTCCTCTCTCACTTTGGTGCCCGCCTTGTCCTCTTTATAATACGGGCACGCCGGTGTAATTGTCGGGGGCCCGCCAGCACCTTCATGGCCAACCTCGCCCAAGGGTCTGCTTTCAGATTTTCCTTCGCCCTGCAGCAAAAGCAGAAGGGAGCCGCTCCTCCGGTTTTCTGCCCCGCTTATGCAGAAGCCTGTTGGATCTCCTTTTTTAAAAAAAAGACCTGGGTACAAGGAAGGACGAAACAGAGGAAGAAAAGCAAATGCTCGGAACCTCTGATTTAGAAACGAGAGATCAGGAAACCAGTCAAGACATTTCTTAGGCTCGGTTCGGCAGTCCCACACATGCTAGACCATGTGGACTAGAAACATGGCCCCATGGGCCTGGTTTTTACTCCGATCGGGTCGATGCTCCTGAAATGCTCTGGGTGTGATGGTCTGGGAAGGATCCCGTCTGGCACTTGCCGTGTGAGAGAAGAGAGGCCCGCTTAGTTCTGTAAAAGAGAAAGGCGGTCATTTTGTAGAGATATGTATTTTTTAAAAGGCAGAAGACGGGGGAGGGAAGCTGCTCCGAACGGGGCCGTCTGGTGTGAGCAAGGTCAGGCCAAGGTTAATGGAGAGGCTAGCAAGATTTGGCCCCTGCCTCTGTACCGGTGGGTGGTAAATTCACTTTTCCCCTCTTTTGGACACAGGTCTGGTTCAAAAACCGTCGAGCGAAGGATCGTAGGGCCCAGCGCCGGTCGCCGGAAGGGGCGAAACCTCACGCCGCCGAATCTCCCTGCAGTCCCGAAGGAGGACAACGAGGATGGGACGGAAAAGTGAACAAGAAGCATCTCCTCCGGACGCCCCAGGCCTCTCTGGGGTCAAAGGGTTGCCCCCTGGGAAAACGGCAGTTCCTTGACGAGGGCCTGGCCCCCTCTTTGAGATCCCTGTCAGGGACGGTCCCGGGGACCCCATGTGGGGCCAGCCTCTTGGAAGCCCCACGGCCACCAACCACAGTCAGAGGAAGGCAGGATCGGGACCCTTCAGGGCCAAATCTCTGGCTTCCAAAGCTGCCGAGACACGGACTTGAAAGTAACTCATTGTTCCTAAGTGTAACTTCCTTGTAATGAATTTCTTTCTTTTCTTTTCTTTTCTTGCAAAATCCACAACTTTGAAAGTTTCCATGATTTCCAGAAACCACTTGAAAACCAACGTGGCCACTCCGTAACCTTGTTTTCAAAAGCCTTGGTTTCGATCCTGAGAGCATCCTCATCCTCATCATCCTAGCACGGCAGAGCTGGAAGGGACCCTCGGGATCCTCCAGTCCAGCCCCTGCCAAGGAAGCCCAGTGGGGGAATCAAACTCCCAACCTCGGGCTCCTCGGCCCGGAGACCTCAACCCCCAAGCGCTTCAAAAGCTTATATCTAATAAACTTCATTGTGGTTGTTGTGGGTTTTTCAGGCTCTTTGGCTGTGTTCTGAAGGTTGTTCTTCCTAACGTTTCGCCAGTCTCTGTGGCCGGCATCTTCAGAGGACAGCACTCTGTGCTCTTAAGGTCAAACTTCGTTATTCTTAATTTCCATAACGAACCGATCCAGCCCTCCTCAGTCAGGGAAGACAGTTCTCCCCAATCCAAAGAGTTAGATCAGGATTTGGGGACTGAGTCACCAGATGGTGATGAAGTAGGTGGATGATGGAACGAGAGCCATGCAAATGTTGGAGCGCAGAGAAGACAGGCTGATGATGAACCAGGTTGGGACACAAGGAAGCGAATCCTGATTATCCAGTTATCCTCCAATTATCTTGAACCACCACGCAGATGTTGTGGGAAGGGTGGCCATATAATCTTACCGGAGCGTTTTCGCCCTGCAGCTAAAACAGGAATCTGGAAACTCAAGGAAGATGTCTGTTTGACGGCATCGTTTGTACGAATGTTCGTATAGGGTTTCAGCGAATTGCACCCTTCTGGATTTGTTTCATTTTTTTCCGAGGGGGGCGGAGTTGGGGGATCTTTTAAAGAGTCCAGAAGACTCCACAGACCCTTTGTCGCTTGGAGGGTTTTTTATACGTCACTGCCAGGATGGGGACGAAACAGCCAGGAGTGTCGAGTGCGAATCACAGGCAGCCAGGTAAATTTGCTGCTTTGTTGCCAGGCGGGCTCCTGGAAGGGAGAAGGGGGGCAAAGCCCGGCCCTATGGAAGCAACCGGATTACAAAAACCACCAGCCCCTTGCCAGTGAGGAATGCTGGGACATGTAGTCCAGAAATGTTTGGGAGGCCGCGTCTGGCCTGCCTTTCCCCATGAGATGGGTGTTAACCTCTTTAGAGACCAGCCTTACTCACGTGTAATGGCATGTGAGTCTCATCTTGGAACCCTGAAAACCGTAAGGACCTGCTAAATAGGAATGCATTACCTGTATCTCTCTTTCATCAAGAATGTTTGGCAAGTTTTCTCGAGTCATTCATTAAATCATCAGACGCCGTAACGTTCATGGGCTGATTTAGAATATCAGATCAAGTAAACAGGTGACTTTTGAGGGAGCCTCTAGGAAACTCAGGGTGGAGGCATTTCAGGACATGTTAAAAATGATTATCATTGGATTATTTAAGAAAACTGAAGTTAATATCTTCCTGACTTTCTACTGCCTCCTATAGGCCCTCAAAGGGAAGGCAATACTATAATTGGAGAAATACAGTAAATCAGCAAGCAAGTGGTGCTTGATTTGCTCTAAGAGTAAAATGTTTTTTAAATGTCAACAAATTAATTTCTCTTTTTTAAAAAAATTATTTAACGCATCCCTGTGAACGCTAATGTCTGCAGACTGAAATTTCCCCCCTCCAAAGTCTCTGGATCTATTACTATTTATTCAATGTATTTCTGCAGGTGCATAATAAATCAACAGATCAGTTTTTCAAACTCATTTGAAGGAATGAGGAAAGAAGGGAAGAAATATATAATATACAAGAAAGCAAAACTCATTGAAATGTTTGTAAAGGCAAGTTTTTTTAAAAAATGATTAAAAAGTGCTTAAGTTTTAAAGATCTAGGGGTCAAATCCTTGCATAGTCAAACCATGTTTGTCTTCGTAAATTTACTGTCGCTGGACTGAAGTTTAAGAATAATTTAAAAAAATATTCCACCTGCAAAGGTGAAGTTACTTTAAACAGAGAAGCTGAAAGCCTGGGCGGTTCTGAGCACATTGGTTCGTATTTCTTTTATTCATTTGAAATCTTTGGACGCTGCCATTGTCCTGCATCTGCCTCACACTTTCCTCAAATGAATGAAAAAATTAAAAAGAAGCTTCCCCCTGGCCCTGATCTGGGAGGGACCCTCGAGGTCATCAAGCTCCACCCCACGAGGAAGCAGGGAAACCCATGGCTAAAGCATCCTCCGGCGATGCACACCTCGCTTTGGTTTGCAAACGTCCAACACGGGATAAAAAGATGTGAAAAAAATAAGGCCCAGAATTGGGATGAATGGATGGGGAGAGGGGGCGTGCGCAAAAAGGCAGGAGTAAAACGTGGGACAAAAAGGGTTTTTTTTGGGGGGTGCAGGAGACCGAAGGTCAAAGAGGGCCACGGCAGGCTGGGCTGGATGGCAGGGTATGAATCAGCAACGAGGACCAATTAATCCAATACCCACAAACCGGTTCTGCACGTCCTCAACTCTTGGCATTACCAAACCCGTCCTCTGTAACCGGCTCTCCCTGCCAAAAATTGGCTTTATTAGAGACTGTGCGTGTTTCTGTGGCACAGAGGGAGAGGGAGAGGGAGGGAGAGGCACATTTAAGGATGGTGTACGTACATGATAGATTTATGATACTGATATATTTATTCCTATATATGTAATATAAGCCTCTCTTTGTTTATATATGAAGTGTATAATGTATTATTGTTGTTGTTGTTTTTGTTGTGGTTCAAAAAACACCGGGCACAGACAGTCGGTCAAAAGTATAAAAACATTGACTGGTATTATACAGCAGATACTAGTTTTAACAAAAAACCTAATTATCCATTAAATATTGGTGCAGTAGGTCGTATATATGTAATATAAGCCTCTCTTTTTTGTTATATGAAGTGTATAATGTATTATTGTTGTTGTTGTTTTTGTTGTGGTTCAAAAAACACCGGGCACAGACAGTCGGTCAAAAGTATAAAAACATTGACTGGTATTATACAGCAGATACTAGTTTTAACCAAAAACCTAATTATCCAGTAAATATTGGCGCAGTAGGTCGGCCGTTCCTAATATTGCCATTTTTTGTAGCTCTGATGGGGTTTCTTCTTCATCATCATCCCTTTCTGTTTCACCTTTCGACTGCTAGGCAGGGATGAAGCGAGCTGGTCATCAGCATTAAATCAACACTCCAACAAGTCAAAAACAAGTTTTTCCTAAGCATGCCCCCCGCCCCGTCTCCCCTCTTGCTTGGAGGGGCATTTCACTGTTTAATGGTTCTGTAGGGCCAGGGGTTATCTGCACCAGGGAAGACCCCCATAAATCTTGCTTAATAGGTTGCTGGCATCTCTAGGGGGGGCCTCAGGCAGAGAGGAATGACCCCAGCAATGGGTGCAGGAGGTCAGGGAAGGAAATTGCCCTAAAGGGTGGTTTGTTACTGTTTAACCTCATTTGTGAGTTGAGCCGAACCTCTGGAACTCACTGCTACAGGATGTTCCGGGAGCAACTCCCTGGAGGCTTAATGCACAAGAGTCACGAAGGAATTTTATTGGACGATGGAGAGGTCAAGAATCGGTTTGTCTTCTCCGGCACTCAGAAGGGAGGCATTTGGTTTGAACTGGAAACAAAAAGTTTGCTTGGAATTCGCTCCTCGCTCACATCTATGGTATATAAAACCTACGGCTAAATATTTCTCTCCATGTGCCTGGAAAATAGCCCCTTAATATTTCGGTGAAGCTGCTCTTCTTGATCAAAATGGAGAGGATATTTGCCAAACTGAATCCAAAACTGCCTTCAAAGAACTCTTTAAAAGCAACTTTGGAAAAGGAATGGTAAAAGTTACAGGCTTTCATGAAGTAACTTCATTCCAAATTATTGTGTTCCTTTCAAAACATTGCTTTGTTCCCACCTTCCGTGTCCCGTCCTTTTTTGCCGACTCAGCCCCAACCATCATGTTATCCATCACACGTTTGTTCCGAGCTGGGGATCCATCCAGAGTTAGTTAGGGGAACGTTTGGTCTGGAGGTAGAGGGGGAAAAAAGTATGTTCCTTTGCCCCTCCTCAAAGAATGAAGAAGGATCTGCGTCAAGGAACCACCGGAGCAGAGAGAAGAGGCTGGCGAGAGGCTCCAGTAATTTATCCGAGCTCCTCGGTTCTGCTCGAACAGGCCAGGAAGGGCGTTCGCATGACAGCAAACTTTTACAGGAGTTGGAAAGAAAAGTGGTCTATTTTTGCTTCCATTTCCAAGTGGCCAGCATTTAGATTTAGGAAATTCAGACCGAGATCCTTTCATGGCATTAACTCAAACAGAGTAACTTCACAAAGGATAGATAGATAGATAGATAGATAGATAGATAGATAGATAGATAGATAGATAGATAGATAGATAGATAGATAGATAGATAGATAGATAGATAGATAGATGGATAGATGGATGGACGGATGGATGGACGGATGGACGGATGGACGGATCTATCGGTAGGTAGGTAGGTACGTAGGTATTTTTTTATTTATTTATTTATTCGATTTTTACCCCGCCCCTCTAGACAACGTCTACTCAGGGCGGCTTACATAATTTAAAACACATTAAAACAGGAAACAGTATAAGTAATATATATAGTACAAAATGGCAAAAGTCAAAAAACAAGAGGGAAAAAAAAGAAAAAAAAGGCCTACTCAATAATGTTACATGAATTATGCCAGTAATATTATTAGTTCAATCTTAGAAACTGCAGGGCTGGAAGGGACCCTATGGGATAATCCAGTCCAGCCCTTGTCAAGGGGTCACCCTGAGGAATCGAACTCCCACCGTCTGGCTCCGTAGCTGTAGACCGCAATCCCTGAGCTTTCCAGCTTCATTAAAATATTTTCACCCTGTCTTTCTCCTTTCAAAGAGAACCGAAGGCAGCTCACATCTTTAAAAGACGACAATAGGATTTTAGCCTGACAAAAAAGAAATCTCTGCCTTCCCAACTGGGCTTCCCGAAGGGCCCGCTTGGCTGCTGTTTTCCTCCGCTCTCTTCCTACGACCACCTGGCGTGCGGGGAGGCAGCTTTGGGTGGTTGATCATGGGCCCTTTTTTGCCGTTGGTATCCACACGTTCCCGACGGAGCTCGGGGTGGGGTGGGGATAACCCCGGAGATCAGCATCCCTTGGGGTGGCTGGGAGCCCCCCCATTCTGCCTGCCAGGAGGGCTGCAGCTCGTGACTTAGAAGAAAAGAGAGCGGAGGAAGTTAAAATTGAGGAAAGGAACAGGATCCCAGCTCGGCAAGGAGGAAGCTTAAGGGATACTCTTTCGCTGGGCAGGGAGCTGCAATTGTTTCTCACTCGTGGCACCGGTGAACAAGTTGTGCAGGTATCATCATGCAGAGAGAGGCCGGGAGAGAAAGGTGGGTGGCGTCTTTCTCACCTGGCCCCGTGGGTTGCTCTTCAAGAACCTCCCTGACCTCAGCCCGGCCGTCTGGCGGATTAATCTCCAAAATCGCTGGAGGTTGCAGGAGAGACTTCCCCCTCCAGGCCTCAGAGGGGAAGAAGGCACAGTACATGAATTGGGATCCAGTGATCAGGCAGGTGAGAAACGCCAGCTCGAAGTTGCTAGGGATTCGGAGACGCTTGGTTTCTCTCCCTCCCTAACAAGCCCCTGGAGTGAGACCGGAGGCAGCTAGAGGGTTGGGTGGAAGCTGCCGGCACTGCCTTGCTGAAGATGATGGTGCTACTGAAGGATGGATCTCTGTTTGTGTGTGTGTGTGAGAGAGAGAGAGAGAGAGAGACCGTAAGGAAACCATGGTGTGTTGTTCTGGATACCTGGAGGTTCCTTCCCCCCCCCACCCTTCACATCTGGGGTGGAGGTTCTTTCCAAATTCTAACCTTAAATAGGTGGAATTAGAACTCCAGGGGTTTTCGGGCAAGGACCTGAGTTCGAATCCTATGGCCGGCTGCCTGGCCGGGGGGGGAGGGAATCCCCTACCTGAACACCTCCAAAGACTCTGTTAGTGTCCTTGTGTGAAATCCGGAGCAGTTTTGTAGCTCAGACCCGAGGACAGAAGGTGTTGCCGTTCCGGGAGCGGAAGGAAACCAGGCGTGGATGGTTTTCCAGGGAAAGTGCGACTAAAAAAGGGGCTTTTAAGAATTGACTTGAAAGGTTCATGTAGGCTGAGAAGGTTCCTGCAGCTGTGCTTTTCTTCTTTGATGTCGATTCCAGATAATTTCAATTTGCCCTGAGACCGTAGAACGCAGGCACACGGTGTTTGCCAGGGAGGGGGCACCGGGTGGGCGTTCACATTTCAAAGCCCCTGTACTTACAAGTGCCTTGCAATGATAATTATTAGCTCCTCTGCTGTTCTAGAACAAGATATCACCAATAGCGTATAGTTTCTCACGGCTTGTTAATTTTCGGGCCAAGCTGTGCCTATTATACATGACCCGTCATTAGAAGGGGGAATCTCTGAAGGGCTGAAGGGGAGTGACTGTTGCATTTCTCATCTGCTGTTGTTTGAAATTTAACTTTCTTTGTTTCTGAGCTCATATCTCACATGAGACTGTCAGAAATGTTAAGGTCTCTTCCCCCCATTACTTTCCTGATGAGTAATAAATATGAAGATATCATCAAGGTTTATGTGAGAGTAAAAGACCAACGATTCTTCCTTCCTTCCTTCCTTCCTTCCTCCCTCCCTCCCCCTTCCTTCCTCTTATCCATCATCAGTTCCTTCCTTCCTTTTGACAACTGTGAACAATATGGGTTTTCCCAGAGAATGGAAGCCAAGTGTGTTACAACACTGCTTTTATCACCCCATATACAGTATCTTTAATTGTACCTTAATATGGATTACAGTACCCAACCTTTCCTTGTACAACTCCTTGGGCAATGCTGTGTTTTGTTCCTGGACCTTTTGCGCAGCTCACGGTAGGTCCCAAACCTGTTGGCTTCCTAAACAGAGGGGTGACCATTATGCTTGCTCGTTAACTTCTTTTGAAGGCAAAGAGGAAAGCGGGTCATAATTACTTCTTAATTAATTTTGGAGGCCATGGTGACCTTGTTGAGGCTACCCACGCACCCATCACCATAACAGTTGGCCAAAACGAAGATGCACAATTATTTGCATGGGGATAGAATGGTTATCGTCGGTTTTGCCAGATGCAGGCTAGACTACTGTAATACACTTTGCCTGGGGCTGCCTTTGGAGGCGGTACAACCTCTCCAGTTGGCACAGGATTTCCCTCGTGAGGGCAAGGCACAACAATAGCCATTTATGGCCTCTTGTGTGTTTTTATGGCTTTCTAGATTCCAAAATGACGAGCGAGGATTCATCCGGGGAGGCCAAAGGTAAGCAGAAGACGGGGACTGGGTGATTGGGAGACTGTGATTTGAACCCAGATCTCCCGAATCAAAACCTTCAGCTCTAACCAACCTTTCAGCCTGGATTCCGAGAGATTTCGCTGGAAATCCTAATTCTTTTGCGATCTTTGGCTTTCTTGGCCCCTTAGAATTCACCTGGGTGGTGAAAGCCAACGACCGGCCTTACCACGACCAGTTCCGGAAGAAACACACGTGGTGTCTGAAGAGGAAGAAATACACAGTAAGGATCGCGGAAGGCCTTTGCGGGTCTTTGTGTCGCTGTGTCTCTCTGTGTGTGTGCCTGTGTTTAAATCCAGATTTCAGCTCTCTTGGTCTTTCTGAATCTGGGGAGGCCCCCACAAGGTTCATTTCTTCGAAAAGGGTGAGGATGGATGGGGACAGAAAACCCAATCCAGGTTTTGGTACGAAATTTCCAGCTGCTCCATAAGGAGCTGAGCCTCCCCTCCCCCAGATCAAGTTCAGCACCATGGAAATCTCCTTCGATGGTCGGACGGAAACCCCGGGTGGATTCCCTCCCTCCACCAGGAGCCGAAGAAGCGCTGGGTTGTTGTTGTTTTTTAAGCGAAGATCTTCCGGGATATGGCAGTAAGGTCCAAGGGTCGGGTTGCCTCCTGTGTTCAAAGCTGAGCCTAACGTTGCTCTCTTCTGTTAGGATAATGGCATCAAGACAGCCAAGTACAACATACTCACGTTCCTCCCTCTCAACCTTTACGAGCAGTTTCAACGCCTGGTCAACCTGTATTTCCTGTCCATCATTATATTACAGGTAAGAAGGGGCTCCAGATAGTGACGCCTTCGGTCCGGAGCTAGGGAATGACTCCCCCCGATAGAGGCTGATCAGGTTGCCATTGGGGTCTCTCTAAACTAGAGTGTTCTAGTAAAAAAACAGGAAGAGTAGAGGGTCGTCGTGATGAAACTCAGCCTCCCCACCCAGTTTATCCATGCAGGCAGCTGGTCAATTTCAAGAAAGGGAGAAGCAGGTCTTTTGCAAAACTAATGGCTCTTAATGGCCAATGCAAGGCCAACACCAGATGACTCAGAACCATATATGTTTCCTAGGAAAGCCTGTGTCTTTTCCAACCAACTAATGGCTCTTAATGGCCAATGCAAGACCAACACCAGATGACTCAGAACCATATACATTTCCTAGGAAAGCCTGTGTCTTATGGTGTGAGGGCTGATGCGAGTGGATAAGAGAACAAGGGGACAGGGGAAGGCTGGGTGTGGTGAACGATGTGTCCTTGGCTTGACTCTGTGAATCCCGGCTCCGCTACTGAGGCTGTCTCTAAGGCCTGGGGAAATGGGAAGTGTTCTTATCCCTTGCCTTCACTCTGGATTGGCTTTATGATATTTGTCTTCGCTCTGGATTGGCTTTGTGATATTTGCCTTCACTCTGAATTGACTTTGTGATATTTCCTAGTGGCAGAACTGTGGGAAGCAATACGAGACCAGCTATGCAAGGGGAAACCTCTCCGAACAGAGGGAATGCTTATGATCCATCGTCCTGGGACACAACAGGATTCTGCTCGATGGGAACTTAACCTGTTGAAAATGAAATTCCCAACCTAACGTTTATGTACAGTAGGACCCCCCATATCCGCGGGGGATCGGTTGCAAGCCCCAGCGCGGATACCAAAAAATGTGGATTGTAGCAAATGCTATTTTAATAGCAAACACTATACATAGCATAGTCTCTGGCTCCCTCTAGTGGCCAATTCTGGTGCCCCCTTCCTTCCTTTTCCAGACGGTACCCCAAATTTCCACCTTGCCGTGGTTTGCCCTCATGTTCCCGCTCATGATCCTCCTCAGCATCCGAGGCATCCGTGACTTGATTGATGACATTGTGAGTATGGCATTTGGCTTCACAGAATTTCGCCGGTTTAGGTTTATCTCTTGATGAATAAGTGGCTAGGGAGCTCTCTCCTCCACCCCCTCGGTTTAGTCCATAATTTAATGTATTTCTTGCAGAACACAATGCAAAGAGGAGAATCCAAAGTTTCTAGTCATAAGCTCTCCCAATGTTTACTTCTCAGGCACGGCACCGAAGTGACTGGGAAATCAACAACCGGCCGTGTGAGATCTTGATGGGGAAAAGGTGAGGGAAAAAAAATTATTTCCATCATAACATTTGCACTCTGCCTTCCTCTTATTTGCTAAGATTCTGTGAACAGGGAATTCCCAGGTTTTGACTATGCATTTTCTCTTAGGAATACAGTCACACTAGTGACAGCATTTCTTACCTTCACTCTGAGTTGGCTTTATGATATTGTCCCTTGCCTTCACTCTGGATTGGTTTTACGATATTTGCATTCACTCTGGATTGGCTTTGTGATATTCATATTTGCCTTCACTCTGGATTGGCTTTGTGATATTTCCTAGCGGCAGAACAGTGGGAAGCAATGCGAGACCGGCTATGAAAGGGGAAACCTCTCCGAACAGAGGGAATGCTTATGATCCATCGTCCTGGGACACAACAGGATTCTGCTCGATGGGAACTTAACCTGTTGAAAATGAAATTCCCAACCTAACGTTTATGTACAGTAGGACCCCCCATATCCGCGGGGGATCGGTTGCAAGCCCCAGCGCGGATACCAAAAAATGTGGATTGTAGCAAATGCTATTTTAATAGCAAACACTATACATAGCATAGTCTCTGGCTCCCTCTAGTGGCCAATTCTGGTGACTATATATATATATATTGATTTTTCTCTTAAAAATTCTAATATTTTTCAAACCGTGGATAAGTGAATCAGTGGATACTGGGATCCTGAAGTAAATTGATTCAATGTCCCACCTCAGTCAAAGTTGAACGAAATCTTTTCAACCCGCCATCTTTGATGAAGTTGGTTGGAAGGATTTCATGCCTGGGCTTTGTTTTATCTTTCTTAAATCATTTTGCCAGCTTGCCTGTCCCCTTCCTTCCTTTTCCAGACGGTACCCCAAATTTCCACCTTGCCGTGGTTTGCCCTCATGTTCCCGCTCATGATCCTCCTCAGCATCCGAGGCATCCGTGACTTGATTGATGACATTGTGAGTATGGCATTTGGCTTCACAGAATTTCGCCGGTTTAGGTTTATCTCTTGATGAATAAGTGGCTAGGGAGCTCTCTCCTCCACCCCCTCGGTTTAGTCCATAATTTAATGTATTTCTTGCAGAACACAATGCAAAGAGGAGAATCCAAAGTTTCTAGTCATAAGCTCTCCCAATGTTTACTTCTCAGGCACGGCATCGAAGTGACTGGGAAATCAACAACCGACCATGTGAGATCTTGATGGGGAAAAGGTGAGGGAAAAATTATTTCCATCATAACGTTTGCACTCTGCCTTCCTCTTCTTTAAAACCGGCCGTGTGAGATCTTGATGGGGAAAAGGTGAGGGAAAAAAAATTATTTCCATCATAACATTTGCACTCTGCCTTCCTCTTATTTGCTAAGATTCTGTGAACAGGGAATTCCCAGGTTTTGACTATGCATTTTCTCTTAGGAATACAGTCACACTAGTGACAGCATTTCTTACCTTCACTCTGAGTTGGCTTTATGATATTGTCCCTTGCCTTCACTCTGGATTGGTTTTACGATATTTGCATTCACTCTGGATTGGCTTTGTGAACTATGCATTTTCTCTTAGGAATACAGTCATACTAGTAACAGCATTTTTTGCCTTCACTCTGAGTTGGCTTTACAATATTGTCCCTTGCCCTCACTCTGTATTGGCTTTGTGATATTTTCCTTCACTCTGAAATGACTTTGTGATTTTCTCCCTAGCCCTCACTCTGGATTGGCTTTACTGGCTTTGTGATATTTGCCTTCACTCTGAAATGACATTGTGATTTTTCTCCCTTGCCCTCACTCTGGATTGGCTTTATATTATTCTCCCTTGCCTTCACTCTGGATTGGCTTTATGATAGTCCCCTTTGCCTTCACTTTTAAATTGGCTCTACAGTATTGTTCCATGTCAACCAATCTAGTTGATAGACCTGCTTTCCCCCTGCTCTCTCCTGCTTCCTCGGTCCTGGAACTATTGGATTACATTTGAGGGATGTGTATGAGAAATCAGGAGGATACAAATGCTGCATTATGATAACCATGTGCTAAACAAATGCTGCATTATGATAACCATGTGCTAAACACATGGTGTTTTTTTTTTTGCCCCGTAGCTAACTGGAGTCCTGAAAAGAGTTTGAGAAAGTTAATCTCAGACTACAAAATCCCTCATCCATTCCCAGAGTCCTCCATGGTGTCCAAAGAATCCTGGAAATGCTGATTTAATCCCCCCCCCCAAAGACACTGCTTCTGGATGTGGCTGCTCTCTCTCATTCTTCCTCTCTCTCCTCCAGTTTCAGCCAGAAAAAATGGAGCGACATCCACGTGGGGGATATCGTTTGCCTTCGTAAAGACAGTTTTGTGCCGGTAATTCTTCTTCTTTGTTTTCAGCTCAGGTTTTCTCTAAGTAGGAACACATGATTTGGTAGGATCACAATCTGAGCGGAAGCTGTTGCAGTTCTGCTAAAGCTGATCCCGTTATGAGCAATCTGGTAGATCTGGTAGCGTAAATCAAAGGAATGCTGCACAGCCCATAAGAAACAGATCAAGTCCATCTCTTGGCCCACTCCACTTGTCCTTAGGGCATAGGTGTACAGTTGCTGACCTCTCTAATTGTGTGTGCATGTCACACCAGCTGGGTGTGAGAAGACTCTCTTACGTATTTTCCTCTCAATTTTCCCCCCTTTTACTTCCCAAGGCCGACCTTCTCTTATTATCCAGCTCGGAGCCAAACAGCCTCTGCTACGTGGAAACAATGGACATTGATGGGTACCATTCCTCTTTTAATCCTGCTTTCCTTTGACACAAACCTCAACCAAGTCTGGCCTCTGTTTGGGGTGTCTAAATTGGCCAAGGGAACTAGTTTTATAGCTAGTTTTATGGTGAGTGGGAAAAGAAATAAAGTAGGAACCCCATAGGATTGGTTTCACTTTCCAATCATCTGGAAATATTAAAAGAAAAAAAAATAGAAATGTATATTTTCACAGTGTATTTACCAGCACTGGCCACCAGAGAGAGCCAGAGACCATGCTATATATTCTTGTTGTTAGACTACGTAGCACGGTCTCTGACTCCCTCTAGTGGCCATTATCAGTAATACACAATGAATTTTTTTTCTCGTTTTTGTTTTCTTTTACCATGCTATATATACACTGTCCACTATTATCTGCAGTTTTCAGCATCATTGGGGGGGGGAGAGAGCTTGGAACCAAGCCTCTGTGGATATAGGAGTCCTCCTGTATAACCCATACATGACAGAGGAGTGTGTCGTCAAACTGGAACTAAAGAGTGGTGGGGAGACAATCGGGGGGACCCCAGAAAGCCACAGAAGACCTCATCCTGGCTCTGCATTTGAGGTTTTTTTTCTTCACATCTAATGGCTCTTCTCACTCTTTTTTAGGGAGACGAATCTAAAATACAGGCAGGCCCTACTGGTGACCCACGAGCAGCTGACCGGTGAAGAGGCCATGGCTTCTTTTGATGGTGAGATTCAGCAGTCCTTAATACTTCCTGTTTGATCCTCAGTGGTACTCTCCGTTCTTGTTCTCTGCATCCTATGGTTTATAGGATTTCAAGCTGACGTCAATTGAATTCTGACTTATGGGGACTTCTAAGATCTACTGCCCCCATGGCTGATCTCAGAAGCGTGTCACCCACTCATGCTTCCTCTGGGTGGGCTCTCCTGGCCACCTTCTCCCAGGAGACACTGGGGTGGTGGTGGTGGGTTCAAGCCCTTGGCACTGGGCTCCGCGTCCTAAGCTCCAACCCACTGAGAGGCCCAGCTAGCTCATTCTTTCAGCCCTGGATTACTTTGCCACCTTCTTTCCGAGGGCCGTTGGTGGCTGAGACTTATATAGCGCTTAGATTAGCTTTCCGTTCCAAGTAGTAGAAGGTTAAAAACACAGGCAGGGTTTAAATGAAAACGACTCGGTTGAGACAGGGAAATTGTTGAACTTGAACTCAAGGGGGAAGAGGACAGAAGGAAACAAGATACTCTAGTGCCCCCTATATCCATGGGAGGTTGGCTCCAAGCTCCTTCGCCCCATGAATGCTGCAAAATAGTGGTAATTGCATGGCAAAAGGAAAAAAAAAGTATTTTCATAATGTATTACCAGACCTGGCCACAAGAAGGAGCCAGAGATAGCAAGAATGCACACCGTGCTCTCTAGTTCCCTCTAGTGGTCAGTTCCAGTAAATACATGGTGAAAATACATATTTCTACTTTTTTTCTCTTTTAATATTTTTAATATTTTCAGACGGTGGATAAGTGAAACCGTGGATACTGATCCCGCAGATATGGGGGGGGGGTCCTACTGTATTTCCCCTGTCCCTCTTTCTTGGCTCTCCAGGCACAGTGACGTGCGAAGAGCCCAACAGCCGGATGAACAGCTTCATCGGCACCCTGGAGTGGCGTGGAGAGAAATACGCTCTTGATGGCGAGAAGATCTTGCTCCGTGGTTGCCGGATACGGAACACGGAGGCCTGCTACGGCCTTGTTATCTATGCCGGTGAGTGAGTATGGCTAGATCTACCTTTCCTGGAACCAGAGGTCATTTAGACTGACCCTCTTATTTCCCAACACCCAAGGACACCCAGTGAATGGTGTGACTTCCGATTTGGGCATTGCTGTGGTTTTTACCTCGGATGCTGGATGCGCTCACTTTCCGACAAGCCATCCCACTAAGAACCATGCTATCCGATGCACAATTATTTAATTTGCTAGCCCCTGCCTATCTGACATTGAGGGTGGAAATCTTATTTCTCTTTTCTGCGATGGAAGCAGCCGACAAAGGATATGCTTTCATTCTTTACTTTCCCAAATGAGTGTCTCATGTTTCTAGTCCTCATTGCCTCCGGGGCCGAATCCCTGTTTCTTTGGGACGTCCTTAAACAGAATTTACAAATAATCTGCATCCCAGAACTGCCCGATGCGAAGAAGCCATCCAGGAAAAATGGGTGAATTTTGTGTTGATTTTGGCGCTAACCCCAAATATCTCTGTTGGTGGAATAAATCTGAGTGTCTGATAGCTCACGGCCAGAGATCTTAGAAAGAAATAATATACATAGGGAGTAGGATTTAGTTACTCTTTTTCTCTCCATCCAAGGCATGAATCTATCATACCTTTACCAGCTAGAGAGGGTTGAAGGATTTCTTTCTTTCTCATGTAAATATCTCAAAATGTCTTTTGTGCAGGATTTGATACCAAAATCATGAAAAACTGCGGGAAGGTCAAGCTGAAGAAAACCAAGCTCAGTGTTCTCATGGACCGCCTGGTGTTTCTGGTAAATTCAGTCCTTTTTTCCCCTGAGATTGAGGGAGGCTGTGATCTTGGGGGGGGGGCAGAGCTTCCTTTGATTTCCCATCAGATTTTGCTTTGCTAGAAAATGGCGGGACTTGAACTCACAACTTTCTCTAGGCAAAGCATGGGCTCCTCTACCACTGAGGTAGGATCTGTGCCCATATTCAGTTCCCCTGTTTTCTCTCTGTAGATCACAATGGTTCTGCTGCTCCTCTCATTTGGACTTGCCGTCGGCTCCGGGTTGTGGGCCGAAAGGTTCCGTCAGGAGCACGCCTACCTCTCTGCTTTCTACGACAAAATCAGCTCAGTCACGTACGCTGTCTATGCCTTTTTTGGATTCATCATCCTCTTCAGCCTCGTGATCCCCATGTCCATGCTCATCACGTATGTTCCAAGCTAGAGGGGGGCTTTGTCATGCATTGAGTGGGGGGGCTGCATTTCTACAGTCTGCTCATTCACCTGAAACCACGGACCTCACAAAACGTCTTCCGTTTTGGAAGACCCAGCGAAGGTCCGAACTTTAATTTGTTTTTGGTCTGAACTTTATCAGAGGTCTCCAAGGCGCTGAAGCTATTTTTGGAGGACCCGGCTGGCTTCTCCGAAAGCTCTTGTAAAGTTTGACTGAAAAAAAAAACATGGAGTGGATCCCCAACCTCCATGAAAACAGAACTACCAGAGCTACTGAACTGGGGACCCCTGCACCCCAAATTTCTGTGATTCGTGGCAGAGGTCCCCCTCCAGTGGTTCCAAACCATGGGTCCCCAGATGTTTTTGGATGACAACTCCCAGAAATCTTGGCTAGGACAGGTAGTGGTGAAGGCTTCTGGGAGTTGTAGTCTGAGAACATCTGGGGACCCCAGGTTGAGAAGGAACGACTGCCTTATGGGGATCCCTGTTCTCCTGCTTCTCCTAGGTTTGAGTTCATCTACCTGGTCAACAGCTGCTTCATCAACTGGGACGTCGAAATGTACTACGCAGCCAAAGATACGCCGGCGAAAGCTCGAAGCACAAGTTTGAACGACCAGCTGGGGCAGATAGAATACATTTTCTCCGATAAGACGGGCACCTTGACGCAAAACATCATGACCTTCAAGAAATGTTGCATTAACGGGAAAATCTACGGTAGCGTGGAATCAATGTTCAGATTCTGCCACTAGGTTTCCTCTCAGTTCTAATCCAGGATCAGGGATAATCGCAGAAACATCCAAATATCAAACTCTGGGTTGCTTCTAATTTTATTTTTATTTTATTTTTTAAAACACGGGCAGGGGCAGGAAAGTATTGCTATTCAAATACCTGCAGCTCCATGTTTCAGGCCACAGAAATTTGCAAACCAAGTTCTTAATTTAATAAAAAAATGTTTTGCACTTTTAATCATATTCCTGTTTTTCTCCCTCTTTTGGAAATGTTCACAGGTTCATCCCATGGTGGCACCAGAACTGAACGAACGGTACGCCACATATTCTTGTTGAAAAATTTTAGCCGTATGAAAGGGGGCAAAGGGGATGATGCTCATGGTCAAATTAGGATTAAATTAGCCCAGTCTGGACATTCTTAGTCTTACATGGTAGTCACCGGGCCTAATCCTGCTTAGCTTCCATAATAATTTAGCTTCCACATTTACAGGTCTGTTAAGGTGTCTCCCTCTCTATTTCTAGGGCTGAAAATAATAGGTGAATGTCCCCTAGCTTCTGGTTGGTCCCATATTTTTGTCATATAGACCATCGTTTCCAGTTTGAAACATATGTGATTATATGTTCTGACCCATTTCTCCAGTGACTTTCTTTTAAGGCATGAAAATGGCACCGATTTTATGTGCATTACCACGAAATTCACGTTTTTGGGAACAGTGTTTCCTGAAATATAGATTTTTGTAGGTCTGTCATCCCAAGAGATTAGGTTTCCATCTGCATTTCAAACTGAATATTTTATATCCCATGGACCCCTTTCAAAAGCAGAAACCCTACTGTGTAAAATTCAGAGACAGGGGAACCAAAAAATTAAAAGCCTATCCATTTTTTGGAAAAATTGTGCACGTTCACCTAGGAAATGCAAGACCTATTCATTTTCTAAAAACATTTTTCTTCATTTTGCTGGCTCCCTGCACCCCCAGGACAACATTTTGAACCAGAACAAATACCAGGATGGGAAAATGGAGTTTTATGACCCAGATCTTTTGGACGCAATACAGCAAAACAACGATCCTGTAGTGCGGGAATTCATGCGCTTGCTCGCCCTGTGCCATACCGTGATGGTGGAGGAGAAGGAGAGTAAGTGGTAGCCATCCATTCTCTCTTTTAATTCAAGACAGCATCTTTAAGAAAGGTGTGGAGGAAGCAAGAACCTTCAGGGTCGACGGGGAGAGGATCGGACCAAGAGGATTGGTGAGGGAGCTGGGGGGATGGTGGGATTTGTAATCCAAAAGGGCGTTTTTCTCCTCCCCCTCAGAGGTGAGCTTGAGACTCTGCATGGGAGAAGGTGGAATGATGGGATTTGTAGTCCAAGAAGCTACTGAGTTTTGTCGCACAGGCCACCGCACTGAAAATAGGTCCAGAGAACATAAACCTTTCAACAGCATAACCAGACTGACCCTGTTGAGCTTCCATAATAAGATCTGATTGGGCCCCACTGAACTAGGCCTAGCTCTGTCCCACTTCCTGCCCAGACAGGAAGAACAGGAAGCGTGGGTGAAGCTAGGCCTAGCTAATTCTGGTGCCTCAAAGCCCTCCCAGGCGAGCCACATTTACGAGTCTCTTAAGGTGCCTGCCTATGAGGTAGCACTCCCAGGAAGGAGAGTGAAGGGGCTTGTAGTCCAGGAAATCAAAAAATCCCATCCCTACCGCCTCTTCCTCCCTGAAGCATGGCCACGAACCCCATAAGGAAATGGAAGAGGAGAACCAGGTGCCCCCGCACCCAAAAGGAAAAGTGAATGCTTTCAATTAAATGAATATGACCAGCTAAATATTTATTTTCCTAATATCCAGCCGTGGCCTCACCTCCAGGTGGTTTTGCTTCCTAATTATGATGCCCTGGTGCAATGCCTCAAATGCTCAGTCCTGTCTCCCAACTTATCCAGGATGGAGAGGGGAAGGATGATGTCCGGTCCTCAAGAGCATAGCTCGAGGTGGGACGGCTCCGGTTGAAATATTCCCTGTTTCATTAAAATAAATAAATCGGTGGACCCATCAAGGGATTTCCAACCGTGGCATGGGGGTCAGCCTAGGTTCTCAGGACCTTCTCGAAACTTCGCCGGCTGAACGAGATTGGCCGGAGGGTGCTACGTTCTCTCGCCAAGCACCTCCGCGGACGCTCTCCGATGGCTGATCGGAGGCCCTTCCGGAAGGTTCAGCCCCGTGTCCAGCCACATCTCTGCACGAGGAGGAGACGAATACCTAGCCGGGGAACTCTGAAATTACAAAACCCTCCACTTTCTGTCTTTTGACTTCTGAGCCCTCTCGCCCTCCGTGCCCGTTCGTGACAACACCCTGATGGATGGGACGGAAGCCAGAAGGGTACGATTCTTGATGCAGAGGGATTAAAAAACCTTTTAAAAGACTGGCACCGTCCCAAGCAAAGGGATCTTTCTCTGGTTTCATCCTCTTCCGTCTCTCCTTCAAGTTCTGATCGGCAATGCAGGGCGTCTCCCGGACTGGACTTGGCGGGAGCCGGCGAGGTTGAAAGAGAAGCCATTTTATATTCCGGAGAAAGGAAAACAAACATCCCAGCCACCAGCTTTAATCTGATTTCTGCCTAACTGAAATCTTTTGTGAGAGCAAATCATTCAGGGATGGCTTTTCTATTGCCAGGAGAAAGGGAAGGGGGGGGGGAAACACTGCAAAACAGGGGTTTCTGTCTCCCACACTTTCGAAAGGCAACGGCAAATTTAGGTGTGAAGGACTTCGGTTTTAGCGTCATCGGTGGTCCACGCTGTGACAAGGGAAGTAAGAGAAAGATGGGACACCTTTTCTTTGAATTACGTATCGGGCATGTTTTCTTCACAGTGCCTTAACCACATTTTTTTTTTGGCGTGGCGTCATCCCCGTTCATCAGTATTTTACTGATCGTCATCCGTAATATGAAAGCAGGGAAAGATGAGGAAGTCAAAAACTGGTCTGGAGTTCAGAAAGCCATTTAAAACCAGTTTTTGGTAACCGGTAGGGTTACAGGAAGTGGAAAGAATTTAAATCCTCTTTATCAGCGTGGTGCCTTTCTCTTCCCATGAAAATTTCCCCTCCTGCGTCTTCTCAAATAAATCAGCCATTCCAAACAAAGGTGAGAAGGAAGTTAATCTCCGAGTTAATCAGAAAAACTCCATCTTCGGCATGAGAGGATTTACCAATAACAGGAGAGCCTGACGCATTTGCTTTTAATTCTGCATTATAACCGGGCCTTGCCAGTATCATAATTGATTCCAGATACAGACGGTTTGCTCAGATCACTGATACGTACGCATGGGACTGGTGCAGTAGGGAGAAGCTAAGAATTCATGTCATTCTGGAACAATTTATTTGAATTTTGAAACTCAGGATGGAAAGAATGTGAGGTTTTTTTTAAAGTTAAGAAGTGAAGCCCATAGATTTTTCTGCTATATAGTCTGTATTCTGAACGCAGGTTAAAAGAGGGACTCCGAGGCCAGGGGGGCATCCAATCCGCTCCAGGGTTTAGGCTGGCCATAAGGGAGCTAGTTGATGTTGAGCTCCTTGGAGAGCTCTCACGAGGCTTGGGCTAAAACCTGTGGCAGATTCGCCAGTGGGAACCGGACTTTTAGTTCTTTGTCAGAGTACTGTATGGTTTCTTAGCCTGCAAGACCAAATCAAAACCAAATGGCTGAGAAAACCCAGGTGACGATTTCTCCTAAAACATTGTTCCTTTGTAGATGAGTTGATTTATCAAGCGGCCTCCCCTGATGAAGAAGCCCTGGTGTCGGCGGCCAGAAATCTGGGCTACGTCTTTCTCTCCCGGACCCAAGACACAATCACCATCAGCGAGTTGGGAGTGGAGAGAACTTACAAGGTCTTAGCACTCCTGGACTTCAACAGCGTGCGGAAACGCATGTCCGTCCTAGGTGAGCATTTGAAGAACTTCCTAAACGCCGGAGACTTATATTCAACCACTGAACTCAACTAAGGTTGCTGATCAGGTCAAAAACGTGTTGGGTTTTCGGAGATTCGTTGAGCACAGAGGCCGAATCCTGAACAACTGGGATCCTGTCGCACAGCTACAGGATCAGCCTAACTTAGAGACGCACGTTGCCCAGAGGTTAGCAAGTCCCTGTAGATGTTGCCTGCTGAGTCTTGTGTCTCAATTTCCACAAAAACCACCCGCTGAGATTTCTTCACTGAACTTGACAGCCATTCGTGTCCAAAAGACTGGGCCGTTGGTGTAGTTACGCAACAGGATTCCAGCGGTTTTCTGTTGGTTTGGATTGCGCAATCCTAGCCTCGGACTCTGACCCCCCGAAGAAAACCCTAAATACCACTTTTATCCTAATCCTAAACCCAAATCTGATTCTTCTGCTCATCATCAAAACAGCAGCTTTTCTGCTGTGGGGTAAAAAAAAAACCCCAACAACCCACAAAACCCAACACCCTGGAAGTTATTCTATTTATATAGAAGACATATAGTTCATCTCCTTGGATTAAGTTGAAAGGTGTTTTCTCTCTTTCAGTACAAGACCCCGAGGGCTGCATCAAGCTTTACACCAAAGGGGCCGACACTGTGATCTTAGAGAGAATTAAAAGTGGCCAGGCCACGGAGGGGGGCACCTTAAAGGCACTGGACGTAAGTATTACTCTAAGGTTAAGGAACAAGTAAGACAGGAGAGAAGGCAACGGGAACAGGCATGTGGGTGGTTAGAAATGGAGGAAACACGGCATTTATCAGCTGCATTTATACCCCAGATGGATGGCCTCCAATGGGCTCATGCGCCTCCTTTTCCACTCTTCACAACAACCCTGTGAGGCAGATCAACACTGTCTTTCTTTACACCACTTACAGAAAGACACACAACGGTGCAGTTTTTAGCATAGCCATCTGCCTTTCATCAACGAACGTAACTTATACACGTGTCAACGTTGCCTGTTGGTTAATGTCCATGATCCACTTCTTATGGGTCCTATTGATGGGTTCCTATTTCGAGAACTGTATTAGCTGCTGTTTTGAAGCCCTGCCAAGGACGCCCATTGGGGTAACGCCGTTGATGTAAGTCCCGTTGCCGAATAGCTGCAAATTAAGAAGCCGGCAGCGGTGTGGGTTGTTATGCACGGATTCCATACCACACCGCCAGATGCCTCGGGCAGCTTCTCTGTTTGCTCGGGGAATTCACACCCACTGTGATTCCACCAGTGCAAAAATGGTGACACACTTTTGACCACGTCCTCGTGAAGGAGCATTTGAGATTCTGAGTTTTACGGCAACTCGTCCTCCCGACCGTCTCACCCCTTTGTGTAATTTCGGGACAACGCCGTCTTCAGCACGGCCCGTGTTTTCTCCTCTTCCATTTTCTCCCTTTCTGTTTTTCTCTCTCCATCCCAGAGTTTTGCCGAGGAAACTCTGAGGACACTCTGCTTAGCGACCAAAGACGTGGACCGGGAGGCGTACGCCGTGTGGAGCCAGAAGCACCATGCCGCCAGTGTCTCGTTGCAGGATCGGGCCCAAAAACTGGACAAAGTGTATGAGGAGATCGAGAAAGACCTCAAGGTCAGAACCGTAATTCTGAAACCTTCCAACAAGAGTCTTCTATTCTTTCCCCTGCGGAACCTCCATTTTACAGACCAGAAGGGACATCCCTCATGATGTTGAACGATAAATGATGAACGTTGGAAGGAGGATGAGCCACCTCACCCTTTGGCGTTGGTAGAGTCTTGAGATGGATGAGAATTTTGTTTCGTAGTGCTGGTTTTGAGGACGATTTATCCAAACCTGGAAATCTGTCCATAGTCAGTTGAAACTTTTATAAATGTAGTAGGACTCCCATCTCTCCATGGGATTGTTCCATGTCTCCCTCTGCAGATGCTGAAAACTGTGGATAATAGTAAATGCTATATATATAGAATGGAAAAAGGGAAAAAATCCCCCCAAAAGTATTTTCATGATGTATTACCATAACCAGCCACTGGAGGGAGCCACAGACCATGCTATGTATCACATTCCCTATTACAGTATACTGTAATAGCATTCACTATAATCCACGTTTTTCAGCATCAACATGAGAGCTTGGATCCCCCCATGGATACTGGGATCCTTCTGTACTCAGGGTGAAAATGAGGTTCCAGAAAACTCTGATGGGGAGGGCAAACTATCAAGTCTGCAAGGTGCAAATGGCAGGAACAGATTTGTCTTTGAAACCATCTTTGCTTTTCCCAGCTGCTGGGTGCGACAGCCATAGAGGACAAGTTACAAGATGGGGTTCCCGAAACCATTGATCTGCTGAAACGAGGGGGCCTTAAAGTGTGGGTGCTGACTGGGGACAAACGAGGTACAGTACGGAGGGTTCGACAAGAAATAAGGCATGGTCGCTATCCCCGTGGTAGGGTGGCAGACGAGATGACTTCCATCCCACGTCGCTCAGATACAGACAAGACTCCGTTTTCGAGTGTGGGGTGGGGGGAACAAGCCGCGATCAGGGATTTGGATGGAAGTTGTTTATTATGTGGCTGTCATCATTCCCAGAGACTGCAGTCAACATCGGCTACGCGTGTCAGCTACTTTCGGACGATATGACAATCTTGGAAGAAGAGGAGATCAGGTAAGGGAAGAATACGTTCACACCTCTGTTGGGAGTGGATGTGAGAGAATCCTGCTCAGGACTAAAAATCAGCCCAGGAGTGATTCAGAATTATCCGGAGAGGCCATGACTTTTCTTGAACTGTTTACGATCAATTGGGGTTCCCACCCAATTTATTGGATATTGTGTCTACACTGCATGGCAGAAACTGTGTCTTCTCAAATCCTTAGTTTTTGGGAAACTATTATAAACGAGTCCTAGGGGGAAGCTTCAATTCTAGACTTTTCCCCCCCAGGGGGTGGAGAAAGACTTCAAAACTGAATTAAGGGCTTCTGAGTTCTCAGAAGTGTTGCGGTCATCTTTTTTCCTGGAAGAAACTTAGATTGTTATCGCTTCTGTGCAGGATGGCATGTTTCCTGCACAGGACTCATCTGGCAAAGGCAGAAGGCACTCTGAGCAGTGCAGGATGATTATAATCCTCACATGGGACAGCACGTTTCTTGCGAAGGACTCACCCGGGAAAGGCAGACAGTCCTCCGAGTTACACAGGATGGTTATAATTCCTGCACAGGATGGTGACTTTCCTGCGCAGGATACTCTGGAAAGGACGCAAAGCAGTGCACAGTCGGGCTGATTTGAGAGACTTATCACCACCCCTCCTTTTTTTTTCCCCAGTGAGATCCTTGAACCATCCTGGCACAGCTCTAGCAGCCTAGACAGCAGTGGAAAATCTCTTTGTAAAGGTTCGTTCTTACCCTCCTGGGGATCGTCAGGAGAAGGCAAAAAAGCATTGGTGGTCACTGGAGACTTCTTGGTAGGTCCGGTCTTTTTGCTCTGTTGGATCCTGGGGCGGGGAACGAGAGGGTATTCCCATCATATGTGATGACGATCCCCATCATACTCAGTGTTTTCGACCCTCCTCTACCAGCAATCTTTTCCGCTCTGCTATTTTTTAAAAAAATATTCATTTGTGATGGGATGTTTCATTATGGGATGTGTTCCCTCCAGGAAAGCTTCCAGCAGCCCCCCAATGGTCCATGCCATGGGGCAGATGTAGGAGTAAGACTTTACACCAGGCACAACCTGTCTCCTTAAGAGAGGGGGGGCGAAAGGCTTAAACGAGGCCTCTCACTCTTCTTGAGAGATCCAACCGTGACATCTTCTCCCTCCATCTCCTGACCGTTCTCCCCTCTTTCGCCCCCTTTCTCCCCAGAAATAGTGGAGAGCAGATTTGATTCCAAAAAATAAAGAAAGTCCAGAAATTTGGAAATGAGACATTCAGGGCGAATTTCACTTCGTGCTGAGGCAGGTTTTTCAAAACTGAGTCGAGACAGACCACAGAGCTTCAACGCTGGGAGCCGTGTCTGGCCTACAACCCAACCTGTCCACCTTCTGTTGTAAAAAATGTTCCGGGAGGTGATGGGGTCTCTCGATCGTTTTCCCTGGCAGGACAAAATCTTCCACATGGAAGGAGAGAAGGTGGCCAAGAGGAAAGCCGGCCTTTTCGCACGCTTGGGCCGCCGGACCGCGGCGGACGACGCCGATAAAGACCTCGGCAGCCTGGTGGAGAAGGCCTTCGTTGAGCTGGCCACCGGCTGCCAGGCTGTGATCTGTTGCCGGGTGACTCCCAAGCAGAAAGCCCTTGTGGTCCAGATGGTCAAGCGGCACAAGAAAACCACCTCCTTGGCCATCGGAGACGGTGCCAACGACGTCAACATGATCAAAAGTGAGCGTTCCTTCCCATCGTGATGCTCTGATTCCAGGGCAAAGGGCGTGGAGCTGGGTTCGAGCCACGAGAGGGCTTGGCCACCCACGGGTAACCCTTGGGGTGGCTTCTTCCTCTCCAGCGGCTGATATCGGGGTCGGGATCAGCGGCCAGGAAGGCATGCAGGCCGTCCAGTGCAGTGACTACGCCATCGCCCAGTTCCGCTTCCTCCAGCGCCTCCTCTTTGTCCACGGGCGGTGGGCCTACCTCCGGATCTGCAAATTCCTTCGCTACTTCTTCTTCAAGACCTTCGCCAGCATGATGGTCCAGATCTGGTTTGCCTTCTACACGGGCTTCACGGCACAGGTGCATGTTAAGAGTTCACTCCCGAGGGCACATGGGCCATGGGATCTTTCTGCCATTTGGAATCAGGTCTAAGAGTTCACTCCCGAGGGCACATGGGCCGTGGGATCTTTCTGCCATTTGGAATCAGGTGGGACCGCTATGAGTCTGCCCTTCCCAAGAGGGCCCAAGTCTAGGTCTAGACTACGGTTACCATCATTCCCCACCTTGCGTCTTTGAGCCAAGGGAACACTTTAAAATGATCCTTAGGGGGGTAAAAATGATGGGTTTCCTCAGCCACCCACTTTGTGGCCAGAAGGAGCTGTCAGGGGAGCACAGTTGATCCCTGAGGGTGTTTCCCGGGGGAAACCCTTTGAGCTGCGCACCGGCTTCTCGTGGGAAGGGACCGAGATGACTGTAACACAAGACCTGTCTCTTTAAGAGACGGGGAGACAAGCTCAAATGGGACCGCCCTCTTTTTTGGTGGTGGGTGTGGCCCAGGACTCTTTGGTGGCATCATGTGGTCCCTCTTTCAACGAAGGGAGTTCACCTGTGATCCCTATTTCCCGATTTCGGCGGGGAGATAACCTTCCACCATAACTTTTTTTTTGGCTTTAAAATAAAGTGATAATAAACTTTTTGCTTTAAATAAAAGTGTCACTTTTTTTTTTTGGCTTTAAAATAAAGCGATAATAAACTTTTTTCTTTAAATAAAAGTGGCCCCCCAACTTTTTCTGGGAATGGGAAATATTCAAAAACTAGTTGTGAAATGTAACTTTTCAGTGTGGTTCCGGGGATCTCATCCTGGTTTTTTTGTTTGTTTGTTTGTTTCCCCACCTTAGCCTCTGCTGGAAAGCTGGTTCCTTGCCCTTTACAATGTCTTCTACACGTCTTATCCGGTGTTGTGCCTGGGATTGTTTGAGCAGGTAATTCCCTGTGCCTTCATTCCCTTTGGTTGAGCCAGAAGTTACAAAATCACAGCGAAGGAGACGTCACAAGGAACGACAGCCTTCCTTTTCAGGCGCGAGGCGTAACTTTAGTGACTTTTTTTAAAAAGTTGCTTTGGAAGAAGCAATTTTGACAAGGATTTTTCAAGATTCATACCAGGGGTTCCCAAACTTTTTTTTGACTTGTGACCCCCTTGACCTTTTGGCCACTTGCCGTGGCTCCCCCCCCCCACTATAGACCAAGGGAGGAAGAAAGAGGAGAAGCCTGGCCTGATGAATAAAGTAGGAACCCCTCTATCCACAGGATCCCAATCTGCAGATTCACTGCATGAAAATTATCCATGAAGATTATCCATTGCATGAAGAACAAAAAAAACAAAAAACAAAAACAAAATAATCCCCTCACAAAAAGCCAGAAATACATACTGTATTTTTTTGTGTATAAGACACCCCCATGTATACGACATCCCCACTTTTCTAATGCAAAATTAAGAAAAATAAGTGGGGCTTAGCAAGTGTAGGGGGAAAGGGATCAAAGCGCTGCAGGATCGCTTTGATCCCTGCTTTCCCCTCCACTTGTTTTTGTTCTCTCCTCAGCTTCCATGTATAAGATGACCCTCAATTTTTTTGTCTAAAGATATTAGACAAAAGTATAGTCCTATACACTGAAAAATACAGTACGTAAAAGTATAGTCCTATACACGGAAAAATACAGTATGTACATGTATTTCCAATGTGTATTTACCAGAACTGGCCACTGGGAGGAGTCAGAGACCATCCTATTCATTCATTCATTCATTCATTCATTCAATCAATCAATCATTCAATCAATCAATCAATCTCAGCCAACTAGTTGCAAGTCTACTACTCTGAGTGGCCAACAGAAACCAAACATAGCAAGAACAGAAAGCCATTAAAAATTGATAAGGAAAATTCTAAATCCCAGGGTTATGGTAAACAAGATGATCCCACAGGCCCATGGGGCTGTGAAAAAGCTCTCGTGTTTGATAGCGTACTTCCTTTCATTTCAGGATCCTTGCCTGGGTTTGGCATCCCCATGGGGAGCTGCAGCGCCCAGTTTGGGAACTACTGGTTCAGGCTGTCCTCTCATTAAATGGGAAGGAAAACAGTTTTTGGTTTGGTCCTTTCTGTTTTCATAAATAGGTTTAAGGTGTAATATCAGAATTAGTCACAAGGGGGAACCAGAGTATCATTCTACTACAAACAACAGAACAGTGATGAGAAGGAGCAATGGAATAATTACTTAGATGACCGCTTAGCTGCCAAGAAGTAATGACCAATGTAGCAAATTCCTTTTTAAAAGTAACTTTCTGAGTTTTGGGATGACCCCTCCTTCTTTTCTTCGGTGTGATTGCCTTCCCCCCTCTTTTCTCTTTTAGGATGTCAGTGCGAAGAAGAGCCTTCAATTTCCCGAACTCTACAAGGTGGGCCAGAAAGACCAACTTTTCAATTTCTGGACTTTCTGCCTGGCATTCCTCCACGGCTCGCTTGTCTCCTTGTGCAACTTCTACATCACTTTTTGGGCCATGGGGGACCGGGCCAGCGTCCACGTCGTAGGAGATTATCAGTCCTTCGGCATGATCATCGCGACCTCGGCCATATTGACTGTGATTTTGGAGGTGAGTTCGGGAAGAGTGAGGTGACCTTCAAGGGAGGGAGGGAGGGAGGGAGGGAGTGAGGGAGGGAAGGAAGGAAGGAAGGAAGGAAGGAAGGAAGGAAGGAAGGAAGGAAGGAAGGAAGGAAGGAAGGAAGGAAGGAAGGAAGGAAGGAAGGAAGGAAGGAAGGAAGGAAGGAAGGAAGGAAGGAAGGAAGGAAGGAAGGAAGGAAGGAAGGAAGGAAGGAAGGAAGGAAGGAAGGAAGGAAGGAAGGAAGGAAGGAAGGAAGGAAGGAAGGAAGGAAGGAAGGAAGGAAGGAAGGAAGGAAGGAAGGAAGGAAGGAAGGAAGGAAGGAAGGAAGGAAGGGTGGGTGGGTGGAGGAATCATGGACCTCCACCTGTAACTAACTGATTTATTCATGGATGGATGGATGGATGGATGGATCATGGACCTCCACCTGTAACTAACTTATTTATTCGACTTCCCAAATCTACTTCATTAACCTTGTTCTGCTTGTTTCATGGACTAGATCATGCTGGAGTACAGATACTGGACCATCTTTTCCATCCTGGCCATCATCATCAGCTTCATATTCTACTGCCTTTTCTCCTACCTCACTCAAAGTTTCATGGCCTACGAGTTCTCTTATGTGTCTTTCCCCTCTCCTGGTAAGCCGTTTTCTGATGGAAAATGTTTGGGCTTTGTGTGTCCTGATTCTGGCCATGACGAAGACCCACTGGGGGTGAAGCTCTGATATCTGTGTGGGGTTCAGCCTCTGCCGTGGTCCCCAAGAATCAGGAGTCAAGGGGCTCTCTGAATTCTGCAGCTAAGGTCATGCAAGGATGGTCTTAGTTCATATATGCAAACAACGTTAAGGTACCCTTCCCCTTATTTTCAGAGGGGCAGCTGCATTCATCTGGTAGAGAAGAACTTATGAAGTATCTTGGTTGGTTGGTTGGTTTCTGTGGCACAATATTTAAAGTTTCTCTTCCCCTGGATTATTTCACCTCTGGACCAATGCTTCTCTTCTGTATGATGGCCCACCATCACGGACTTCTCCCGTGGACTGGTGGCACCCTTGTCTGTCCACATTTAACAGTTGGGCTTCTCCTCACTTCCTCCTTTCTCCTCCAGATGCCACCAAAAACGCCCTGACGGATCCGACAGCTTTGCTGGTTGTCCTGCTCTGTGTGGTGATGAACATCATCCCCTCCCTTGCTGTGCGCTTCGTGAGCAGCTGCGTGACCCCGGCCACCATGTCAGAAGTAAGTATAGTCTGGGTGATGGTGGCCCATTGGATGCTACAGAGGGTGCCCCATCTCCCATCCAGTTGATGCAGCTGATTTGGGTGAAAGCTTAACTAGATACAAAGCAACACCTACTCTTTGAGTTTTGGAGAATGGCATTGGATCAAGAAAAAGGTTTTGGATGGAGGTGTACAGTCGAGTCCTGTATCTTTGGTGGATTGGTTCGAAGCCCCAGCAGATCTGAAAACTGAATATCAAGAAATATTATACATAATGTAGTAAAAGAAAAAGTCTAGAAAAAAGTATTTTCACCAAGTATTACTTGAATTGACCACTAGAGGGAGGCAGAGACCATACAATGTACAGTACAGTACTGTATTCTTCAACAACAAGCTTACATAGCATAGTCTCAACAGCTGGGCTTCTCCTCACTTCCTCCTTTCTTCTCCAGATGCCACCAAAAACGCCCTGACGGATCCGACAGCTTTGCTGGTAGTCCTGCTCTGTGTGGTGGTGAACATCATCCCCTCCCTTGCTGTACGCTTCGTGAGCAGCTGCGTGACCCCGGCCACCATGTCAGAAGTAAGTATAGTCTGGGTGATGGTGGCCCATTGGATGCTACAGAGGGTGCCCCATCTCCCATCCAGCTGATGGTGCTAGATACAAGGGGACACCTACTCTTTGGGTTTTGGAGAATGCTGTTGGATCAAGAGGTTTAGGATGGAGATGTACAGTCCAATCCTGTATCTTTGGAGGATTGGTTTGAAGCCCCAGCAGATCTGAAAACTGAAAACTGTATTAGAAAATATTATACATAGTAAAAGAAAAAATCCAGAAAATTTTCACCAAATATTACTTGAATTGACCACTAGAGGGAGGTAGAGACCATACGATGTAGTCTTCAACAACAAGCTTACATAGCATAGTCTCTGCCTCCCTCTAGTGGCCAGTTCTGGTAAATACATCGTGAAAATACCTATTTCTAGTTTTTTTTCTTCTAATATTTTTAGATAAGTGAAACCACGGGTGAAAATACCTATTTCTAGTTTTTTTCTTCTAGTATTTTTAGATAAGTGAAACCACGAATACCAATACGGGGTCCTACTGTATAAAATTTGTGCTAGGCTTGAAAAGACAGAAGGTTGGGAGGAAACGCACCACCTGCTGAAGTCACACAACTAAATTCAGAACAGGGATAAGAAGAAAACCTGGGTGCGAATGAGAAAAAGATTTCTCCTAGGAGAACCCTGCACAGAAAAAGTGCTATCCAGTGTGAGGATGATCATCTAGGCAGCTGAGAGGCCCTTTTCCAATTGTGTCTTGGGACTGTCCTCAAACGCTTTGCAGTGTTCTGAGCTAGACTGCCACTGCCCATGGAGGCTTCATTGGGTTGGAAAAACCTGGTAGGTGGGATATAAGCGGATACGTTTAGACACCTCTTCCTCTCTCCCTTCCTGCTTTCCAGATGCTTGATGCCCGAGACATGAAGCGGAACTCAAAGCCCGTGGAACTGACCTCCCACTTCTGGAGGACCAACCGGTCGCTGAGGCGCTCCAGCTACGCTTTCTCTCACAAGGAAGGCTATGCCGACCTCATCTCTCGAGGAGCCAGCCTGCGGATCAAGGGTCCCCGGAACAAAGCCCGACAGAACGGCGTCCCGAGCACCCCCTCGCTCGGCCAAGGCGGCCTCGGGCCATCCAGAGGGGCCTCTCCCACTCCTGACACCGTGGCAGAGCTGAAGGTTCAGCGTTCTTGATTCACAACATGGGCCGGGCTCTTCACAATTGCACTAAAAACTGATAACAGGGAGGTTTCCTGAAGGCAGCTGTGGCCCACTCTCGCCCAGGCTGTGCAGTTCTGTGTTCAAATCCTGGAGACTCTCTCCCAGCCATTACTGTCCGGAGGTTCCTGGACCTTTGGCTTGCCAGTTCTGAGCCAGAAACCCATCTTCCCCTGAAGGAAGGTTGATCAGCTCCGTCACTACACAAACTTTGACATTCCCGGGGCAAAACCTGTGGCCAGGGGCACATTATAAGGATTGTGCTGTTGTGATGCTGTGCTTAATTAGGAAACGGATGTGTGACAGATAGACCCTGGGGAGACACGGTGATGAAACCAGAGTCACCAGCCACCACCGGGTGGACAGCCAGATATTTTTCTCTCCCCTGTCTCTTCTCCCCCACCATCTGGCGTTCAGAGCTATACTGCCCCTTCCTCTGGAGGCTTCATTTCGCCCTCATGGGCTGGTAACTGCCCCGGGGCCCGACTGGGCTAGATCATGGAACAAACAACCGTGCCATAAAGATTCGGTGGCTTGCTTTCGATAATACGATTGACCAATTAACTGTGCTTGTAAAATCACGAACAACCTCAAGGTTCCCACTGGGAACAAGAAGGATGAACTTTTAAAGAAGAAGTCATTAATTAATTTATGGTGGAGTGATATGAAGGAATGCCAATCTCTTCCATCTTATTTCACAATCTGTTTATAACTTTCCTTACATGGAATAAAATCAGATAATGTATTATATATATTTTTTGGCTTCCAATGTAGCTGTATCGGAACCCGTACAGTGGGGGCGTGGAGAACTACAGGACCCAAAATAGATCCATCCTTTCTAGGGTCCCAGTCTAGACCTCTGGGTTTCCCTAGGTAGCCAACCTCCTCCCCCCCCCCAGTTTCCCAAGTTGCTGGTGTTTTCCCTCTGCCTTGGCCCCCCACAAAAAATTTGGTTCCTGCAAAATTCTCCAAAATTACTTTCAGACAGACAGACATCTCCCCTCCATGCTGTAGAGGGCGCCAGAGTGTCATGGGTGGTGTGGAGGGTTGCGCATGTGCTGCCATCTGCTGGACGGATGCAGGACTGGAGCAGAGTTTCTCTTCCTGATCTCTGGCCTGTTTGAGTCCTGGATGTGGACATTGTGGAACAGGTGAGGAAACGGAGCCTCTCCAGATGTGAGTGGACCACAGTTCCCATGATCCTTCTCTAGTGGCCAGGCTAGAGGAGCTTGAGTGTTTTAGTAAAATCTGGAGCACCTCAGCTTCTCCTGGCCTGTGGTTGAAGTTGTTGCCAATTGTCTTCCGTGTCTCTACCTATGGGTGCATGGATTAAGGTTACAGGAGTGTTTCTAATGACTAGAGGCCACACCCATGCCTAAATTTTCCAGTCTTAAATTTTTCAGTTCTTGTTCAATCCAAACTTTTCAAAATAAAATGGGTCCAAAGATCCTGGGGGAATTTTGCCCAGTTTTTGGCTCTCTGTGTATGGTCCGTGAAGCAGAGGTGGGGGAAAGACCAGCTGAGACCAGTTGTCTACATACACACCTTTGCAGCTGTTTGGGGGCTAATCCATGCAAACACTTCACAGATTTCACACTTTCAAAACCCAGATGTGAATCAAAATTGAGCCGGATGAAGTTAACAGAACTGGCCACTAGAGGGAGCCAAAGACCATGCTATGCATAGGGTTCAATAGAGAAATATATTTCTACAGTGCCATTAGCAGAACTGGCCACTAGATGGAGCCAGAGACCATTATAAGCATAGCATTCGCTATTAAAATAGCACTCATTTTTCAGCATGGGGTGGGCTTGGAACCAATCTCCCATTGATCCGGGGGGTGGGGCTACTGTAGTTATAGTACAAAAAGAGAGTCTATTTTAGGGGAAATGCAGGCCTCAGTGACAGTTTTTATGTGATCTATTTTTTTTTTCAAAAAAATCTAGTCTCAAATTGAAACTTTTAAACTGGCGATGAACTCAGTGGAAGACTGGAACAGTGAGAAGCTGAGGTTGGGGATGAAACCGAAATTGGTGCATTTATTATGAAATCAAAAGTTTAAGCCAAAGATCTCACTCACAAAAACACACACTGAGACAGCTAATTTTCCTTTCTGTAAACTTTCTAGACCAGCTGTTGATAAAGGAACTTCTCGTCTAAAGTTGGCCGGCCAGGATGTTTCGATGCTTTGACATCATCATTTGGGAACACCACCACCCCCCTTTTCATGTTTCTTAAACCCCACAGAGTGAGTTTGATGCATATAAGGCTGAGAAACCCAGGTGGTGGTCTTTGCTAAGTGGAGGACACTCAGAAGCCGCTGGAGGTCAAGTGGATGACAAAAAAATAATTTATTGAAGAACCTGAAAACGGTAGGAATGTACAACACAGTCATGGAACGGTGGACGACAGAACAAAGAAAATTCACTCATTTTCTCATTTGAAAATTGATCTGGAAGATGTAGCAGAGATAGCGGGCAGTGGAACCTAGCTCAAGACAACACAGAAAAAAAATTATCATTGTGATACCATGGTTCATTATTTCTTTAATAAAGTGCCCAACGCATAAGTCATTGTTATGATGGTTATTATTTTAAATCACTGACAGAGGAACAGAAAGGACTGGACAGAGTCGTAAAGACCCAAAGGAACGAACGGCAGGTTTGTTAAGAGCATCACAATGAAACGTGGGACCACATCACAAAGAGACACGGGGACGGGGACTTAGGAAAACCCAGGCCGGAACACAAAACTCTGGAATTGAACATGTTTAAAACTGGGCAACCAAATGACGAGGTGCAGAATTTGCTTAGGAGTGGGAAACTGAAGGGCAAAAACACAACTTATGGGCTTGAAGTTCCACACCGCACACAAAAATTATGAATTCCGGACCACCTAAAATCCAGCCCTGTCCGGGATGTGAGCTGTTTGAAAGGGCGAAAGATGGATCCGAATTCCAAAGTCAGGTTCAATCGGCTTCCCAAAATGTCATGCTCAAGGTGCTTCCTCTCCGTTTCTCAAAGCCGAGGCTCCTCTCTGGAACAGCCCTATTGCCATTATGAAATTTTAGATGTTATGTGGGAAGGCTGTGGTTTTGTTTCTCCTGTATCTTTATCCAAAAACAATCCTTCCTTCCTTCCTTCCTTCCTTCCTAAGCCCCTCACCAGAGATTGGAAAATCTAAGGGTTGGTTTTTCGGACGTTTGTTCCCAGACATTCCCAACCAACATTGCCGGGTCCCGAGCAACTTTTCTAATACAGCAGGGTCCCTTACCCATTGAATTAGTATCCACTGATTCACTTATCCATGGCCTGAAAATATTTAAAATATTACAAAAAAAAATCCTGGAAATCTATATTTTGAAAGATGAAGTTACCCGAACTGGCCATTAGAGGGAGACAGAGACCATGGTATGTGTAGCATTTGAAGGCGAAATAAGGCATATGTCATTACCAGACCTGGCCACTAGACGGAGCCAGAGACCATGTGTTCACGATAATCTACATTTTTCAGCATCCATGGGGGGCGCTTAGAACCAATCCCTGTGAATACGGAGGAACTCCTATTTCTGTCCAAAAAGAAGAAAGTTTTCAGGTTAATTAAAAATAACTCAGAACTAGGCAGGGTGAGAATGGTCAGCTCATAGTCAGGAATAACACAGGAACCATGTGTGGGTGACCTTCCCTAGGTGACAGGCAATCAGGTGTAATAAAGGAAGGGGGAACCTGAGCCATGTAGTGGTATTTGTGTTACAGGCAGCAGAATTTAAAGGACTTTGGAGCGACCACTTGATAAAGCTGAATATTTCTCTTTCATGGCATGCCTTTAGTTTCACTCTGCTAACAGGAGAAACGATGCCCTTTTATGCAGTTTGGCGTTTGTTCCAAGCAGTGGTGTTGGGTATGAAAAGAGGACAGGAATGGAGATGGCTTACCGTCAACCTTTGGAGTCTACCCACTGCAGTGTTTCCAACTCAGGCTGGCAGCCACAGCAAACTGGAATTTGGGACCGAATTCTTTCCCAGCCCTGCCTGGCGACGACAGAAATAGGAGCCGCGCTCCATCCCAGCGTGTGTATGTGTGTTCAGACCACCCGAATTCTTTCCCAGCCCTGCCTGGCGACAGAAACAGGAGCCGCGCTCCAGCCCAGCGTGTGTATGTGTGTTCAGACCATGTTCATGTGCCTCTACTGGTACTTCCCTACAGGAGCTCAGCGTATGAAGCGGCATCCATCCAAAATCATGGCTTTGGAGGGAGAAGGGATGCGAGATGAACTTACTGGGGTGCATATCATCACTTTCATACTTAATATGTCTTTCTTTAGCCGTTTTCTCTCTCTGCTGACTTTCTGGCTTCTCGCCGCCTCCGTTCATCTGCTGGGGAAGATGTTGAAATGGGGGCTGGCAGGAGATGCCAACTCCAGGGCTGGTGTGAATCCCCTCTGGGTTTTGGTTGGAACTTTCTGGGAGCGCTCCAAGATGTTGAACCGATTGGGGGGGGGCGGGTTCGGTTTCAGTCCAGAACCTTGGACAGTGTCTGTAAAATTCAGGGCAAACTCCTGGAGCCAATGTGCACTTTTGAAATTGGGGTCGTTTTCAGATCAGAAAGTGATAGGCGGCCAGGGAAAGGTGTTATAATGCAAAGGGGAATCAGGCATGTCTGGTGTTCGGTGAAGGGTGATGTCCCGTGGAGATTGAACGAGTGGCCGGTTGAATTTGTTTCTGCCCGCCAGCTTTTCCTTTTTCTGATTCTAAGGGAGCTCATTGCTCGCCCAAGGCTGGAACGGTTCATATCGTCTAAAAATTGAGATTATAAATCATAACATCAGAAACCCTGGGAGTGGCGGGCTTTGAAGAAGGTAAGGAGGGAGAGGGCTGGATCCTTGCATATTTCTACATGATTGTCTCTGCGTTCTGTCACCTGGATTATGAAGACACTCAGGAATACTAAAAGCGAAGACAGCTCAATCGGTCAGGG